TGGGTCATCCACATGCATGGAGGCGTGTTTGGGTCATCCACATGCATGGAGGCGTGTTTGGGTCATCCACATGCATGGAGGCGTGTTTGGGTCATCCACATGCATGGAGGCGTGTTTGGGTCATCCACATGCATGGAGGCGTGTTGGGGGTCATCCACATGCATGGAGGCGTGTTTTGGGTTCATCCACATGCATGGAGGCGTGTTTGGGTCATCCACATGCATGGAGGCGTGTTTGGGTCATCCACATGCATGGAGGCGTGTTTGGGTCATCCACATGCATGGAGGCGTGTTTGGGTCATCCACATGCATGGAGGCGTGTTTGGGTCATCCACATGCATGGAGGCGTGTTTGGGTCATCCACATGCATGGAGGCGTGTTTGGGTCATCCACATGCATGGAGGCGTGTTTGGGTCATCCCCATGCATGGAGGCGTGTTTGGGTCATCCCCATGCATGGAGGCGTGTTTGGGTCATCCACATGCATGGAGGCGTGTTTGGGTCATCCACATGCATGGAGGCGTGTTTGGGTTTGGGTCATCCCCATGCATGGAGGCGTGTTTGGGTCATCCACATGCATGGAGGCGTGTTTGGGTCATCCACATGCATGGAGGCGTGTTTGGGTCATCCACATGCATGGAGGCGTGTTTGGGTCATCCACATGCATGGAGGCGTGTTTGGGTCATCCACATGCATGGAGGCGTGTTTGGGTCATCCACATGCATGGAGGCGTGTTTGGGTCATCCACATGCATGGAGGCGTGTTTGGGTCATCCCCATGCATGGAGGCGTGTTTGGGTCATCCACATGCATGGAGGCGTGTTTGGGTCATCCACATGCATGGAGGCGTGTTTGGGTCATCCCCATGCATGGAGGCGTGTTTGGGTCATCCACATGCATGGAGGCGTGTTTGGGTCATCCACATGCATGGAGGCGTGTTTGGGTCATCCACATGCATGGAGGCGTGTTTGGGTCATCCACATGCATGGAGGCGTGTTTGGGTCATCCACATGCATGGAGGCGTGTTTGGGTCATCCACATGCATGGAGGCGTGTTTGGGTCATCCACATGCATGGAGGCGTGTTTGGGTCATCCACATGCATGGAGGCGTGTTTGGGTCATCCCATGCATGGAGGCGTTTTTGGGTCATCCACAATGGAGGGCGTGTTGGGTCATCCACATGCATGGAGGCGTGTGTTTTGGGGTCATCCACATGCATGGAGGCGTGTTTGGGTCATCCACATGCATGGAGGCGTGTTTGGGTCATCCCCATGCATGGAGGCGTGTTTGGGTCATCCACATGCATGGAGGCGTGTGTTTGGGTGGGGGTCATCCACATGCATGGAGGCGTGTTTGGGTCATCCACATGCATGGAGGCGTGTTTGGGTCATCCCCATGCATGGAGGCGTGTTTGGGTCATCCACATGCATGGAGGCGTGTTTGGGTCATCCACATGCATGGAGGCGTGTTTGGGTCATCCACATGCATGGAGGCGTGTTTGGGTCATCCACATGCATGGAGGCGTGTTTGGGTCATCCACATGCATGGAGGCGTGTTTGGGTCATCCACATGCATGGAGGCGTGTTTGGGTCATCCACATGCATGGAGGCGTGTTTGGGTCATCCACATGCATGGAGGCGTGTTTGGGTCATCCACATGCATGGAGGCGTGTTTGGGTCATCCACATGCATGGAGGCGTGTTTGGGTCATCCCCATGCATGGAGGCGTGTTTGGGTCATCCCCATGCATGGAGGCGTGTTTGGGTCATCCCCATGCATGGAGGCGTGTTTGGGTCATCCACATGCATGGAGGCGTGTTTGGGTCATCCACATGCATGGAGGCGTGTTTGGGTCATCCACATGCATGGAGGCGTGTTTGGGTCATCCACATGCATGGAGGCGTGTTTGGGTCATCCACATGCATGGAGGCGTGTTTGGGTCATCCACATGCATGGAGGCGTGTTTGGGTCATCCACATGCATGGAGGCGTGTTTGGGTCATCCCCATGCATGGAGGCGTGTTTGGGTCATCCACATGCATGGAGGCGTGTTTGGGTCATCCACATGCATGGAGGCGTGTTTGGGTCATCCACATGCATGGAGGCGTGTTTGGGTCATCCACATGCATGGAGGCGTGTTTGGGTCATCCCCATGCATGGAGGCGTGTTTGGGTCATCCACATGCATGGAGGCGTGTTTGGGTCATCCACATGCATGGAGGCGTGTTTGGGTCATCCACATGCATGGAGGCGTGTTTGGGTCATCCACATGCATGGAGGCGTGTTTGGGTCATCCACATGCATGGAGGCGTGTTTGGGTCATCCACATGCATGGAGGCGTGTTTGGGTCATCCCCATGCATGGAGGCGTGTTTGGGTCATCCACATGCATGGAGGCGTGTTTGGGTCATCCACATGCATGGAGGCGTGTTTGGGTCATCCACATGCATGGAGGCGTGTTTGGGTCATCCACATGCATGGAGGCGTGTTTGGGTCATCCACATGCATGGAGGCGTGTTTGGGTCATCCACATGCATGGAGGCGTGTTTGGGTCATCCACATGCATGGAGGCGTGTTTGGGTCATCCACATGCATGGAGGCGTGTTTGGGTCATCCACATGCATGGAGGCGTGTTTGGGTCATCCACATGCATGGAGGCGTGTTTGGGTCATCCACATGCATGGAGGCGTGTTTGGGTCATCCACATGCATGGAGGCGTGTTTGGGTCATCCACATGCATGGAGGCGTGTTTGGGTCATCCACATGCATGGAGGCGTGTTTGGGTCATCCACATGCATGGAGGCGTGTTTGGGTCATCCACATGCATGGAGGCGTGTTTGGGTCATCCACATGCATGGAGGCGTGTTTGGGTCATCCCCATGCATGGAGGCGTGTTTGGGTCATCCACATGCATGGAGGCGTGTTTGGGTCATCCCCATGCATGGAGGCGTGTTTGGGTCATCCACATGCATGGAGGCGTGTTTGGGTCATCCACATGCATGGAGGCGTGTTTGGGTCATCCACATGCATGGAGGCGTGTTTGGGTCATCCCCATGCATGGAGGCGTGTTTGGGTCATCCCCATGCATGGAGGCGTGTTTGGGTCATCCACATGCATGGAGGCGTGTTTGGGTCATCCACATGCATGGAGGCGTGTTTGGGTCATCCACATGCATGGAGGCGTGTTTGGGTCATCCACATGCATGGAGGCGTGTTTGGGTCATCCACATGCATGGAGGCGTGTTTGGGTCATCCACATGCATGGAGGCGTGTTTGGGTCATCCCCATGCATGGAGGCGTGTTTGGGTCATCCACATGCATGGAGGCGTGTTTGGGTCATCCACATGCATGGAGGCGTGTTTGGGTCATCCCCATGCATGGAGGCGTGTTTGGGTCATCCACATGCATGGAGGCGTGTTTGGGTCATCCACATGCATGGAGGCGTGTTTGGGTCATCCCCATGCATGGAGGCGTGTTTGGGTCATCCACATGCATGGAGGCGTGTTTGGGTCATCCACATGCATGGAGGCGTGTTTGGGTCATCCACATGCATGGAGGCGTGTTTGGGTCATCCCCATGCATGGAGGCGTGTTTGGGTCATCCACATGCATGGAGGCGTGTTTGGGTCATCCACATGCATGGAGGCGTGTTTGGGTCATCCACATGCATGGAGGCGTGTTTGGGTCATCCACATGCATGGAGGCGTGTTTGGGTCATCCCCATGCATGGAGGCGTGTTTGGGTCATCCACATGCATGGAGGCGTGTTTGGGTCATCCACATGCATGGAGGCGTGTTTGGGTCATCCCCATGCATGGAGGCGTGTTTGGGTCATCCACATGCATGGAGGCGTGTTTGGGTCATCCACATGCATGGAGGCGTGTTTGGGTCATCCACATGCATGGAGGCGTGTTTGGGTCATCCACATGCATGGAGGCGTGTTTGGGTCATCCACATGCATGGAGGCGTGTTTGGGTCATCCCCATGCATGGAGGCGTGTTTGGGTCATCCACATGCATGGAGGCGTGTTTGGGTCATCCACATGCATGGAGGCGTGTTTGGGTCATCCACATGCATGGAGGCGTGTTTGGGTCATCCCCATGCATGGAGGCGTGTTTGGGTCATCCACATGCATGGAGGCGTGTTTGGGTCATCCACATGCATGGAGGCGTGTTTGGGTCATCCACATGCATGGAGGCGTGTTTGGGTCATCCACATGCATGGAGGCGTGTTTGGGTCATCCCCATGCATGGAGGCGTGTTTGGGTCATCCACATGCATGGAGGCGTGTTTGGGTCATCCACATGCATGGAGGCGTGTTTGGGTCATCCCCATGCATGGAGGCGTGTTTGGGTCATCCCCATGCATGGAGGCGTGTTTGGGTCATCCCCATGCATGGAGGCGTGTTTGGGTTTGGGTCATCCACATGCATGGAGGCGTGTTTGGGTCATCCCCATGCATGGAGGCGTGTTTGGGTCATCCACATGCATGGAGGCGTGTTTGGGTCATCCCCATGCATGGAGGCGTGTTTGGGTCATCCCCATGCATGGAGGCGTGTTTGGGTCATCCACATGCATGGAGGCGTGTTTGGGTCATCCACATGCATGGAGGCGTGTTTGGGTCATCCACATGCATGGAGGCGTGTTTGGGTCATCCACATGCATGGAGGCGTGTTTGGGTCATCCCCATGCATGGAGGCGTGTTTGGGTCATCCCCATGCATGGAGGCGTGTTTGGGTCATCCCCATGCATGGAGGCGTGTTTGGTCATCCCATGCATGGAGGCGTGTTTGGGTCATCCACATGCATGGAGGCGTGTTTGGGTCATCCACATGCATGGAGGCGTGTTTGGGTCATCCACATGCATGGAGGCGTGTTTGGGTCATCCACATGCATGGAGGCGTGTTTGGGTCATCCACATGCATGGAGGCGTGTTTGGGTCATCCACATGCATGGAGGCGTGTTTGGGTCATCCCCATGCATGGAGGCGTGTTTGGGTCATCCACATGCATGGAGGCGTGTTTGGGTCATCCACATGCATGGAGGCGTGTTTGGGTCATCCACATGCATGGAGGCGTGTTTGGGTCATCCACATGCATGGAGGCGTGTTTGGGTCATCCACATGCATGGAGGCGTGTTTGGGTCATCCCCATGCATGGAGGCGTGTTTGGGTCATCCCCATGCATGGAGGCGTGTTTGGGTCATCCACATGCATGGAGGCGTGTTTGGGTCATCCCCATGCATGGAGGCGTGTTTGGGTCATCCACATGCATGGAGGCGTGTTTGGGTCATCCCCATGCATGGAGGCGTGTTTGGGTCATCCACATGCATGGAGGCGTGTTTGGGTCATCCCCATGCATGGAGGCGTGTTTGGGTCATCCACATGCATGGAGGCGTGTTTGGGTCATCCACATGCATGGAGGCGTGTTTGGGTCATCCACATGCATGGAGGCGTGTTTGGGTCATCCACATGCATGGAGGCGTGTTTGGGTCATCCCCATGCATGGAGGCGTGTTTGGGTCATCCCCATGCATGGAGGCGTGTTTGGGTCATCCCCATGCATGGAGGCGTGTTTGGGTCATCCACATGCATGGAGGCGTGTTTGGGTCATCCACATGCATGGAGGCGTGTTTGGGTCATCCACATGCATGGAGGCGTGTTTGGGTCATCCACATGCATGGAGGCGTGTTTGGGTCATCCACATGCATGGAGGCGTGTTTGGGTCATCCACATGCATGGAGGCGTGTTTGGGTCATCCACATGCATGGAGGCGTGTTTGGGTCATCCACATGCATGGAGGCGTGTTTGGGTCATCCACATGCATGGAGGCGTGTTTGGGTCATCCACATGCATGGAGGCGTGTTTGGGTCATCCACATGCATGGAGGCGTGTTTGGGTCATCCACATGCATGGAGGCGTGTTTGGGTCATCCACATGCATGGAGGCGTGTTTGGGTCATCCACATGCATGGAGGCGTGTTTGGGTCATCCACATGCATGGAGGCGTGTTTGGGTCATCCACATGCATGGAGGCGTGTTTGGGTCATCCACATGCATGGAGGCGTGTTTGGGTCATCCCCATGCATGGAGGCGTGTTTGGGTCATCCCCATGCATGGAGGCGTGTTTGGGTCATCCACATGCATGGAGGCGTGTTTGGGTCATCCCCATGCATGGAGGCGTGTTTGGGTCATCCCCATGCATGGAGGCGTGTTTGGGTCATCCACATGCATGGAGGCGTGTTTGGGTCATCCACATGCATGGAGGCGTGTTTGGGTCATCCCCATGCATGGAGGCGTGTTTGGGTCATCCACATGCATGGAGGCGTGTTTGGGTCATCCCCATGCATGGAGGCGTGTTTGGGTCATCCCCATGCATGGAGGCGTGTTTGGGTCATCCACATGCATGGAGGCGTGTTTGGGTCATCCACATGCATGGAGGCGTGTTTGGGTCATCCACATGCATGGAGGCGTGTTTGGGTCATCCACATGCATGGAGGCGTGTTTGGGTCATCCACATGCATGGAGGCGTGTTTGGGTCATCCACATGCATGGAGGCGTGTTTGGGTCATCCACATGCATGGAGGCGTGTTTGGGTCATCCACATGCATGGAGGCGTGTTTGGGTCATCCACATGCATGGAGGCGTGTTTGGGTCATCCACATGCATGGAGGCGTGTTTGGGTCATCCACATGCATGGAGGCGTGTTTGGGTCATCCCCATGCATGGAGGCGTGTTTGGGTCATCCACATGCATGGAGGCGTGTTTGGGTCATCCACATGCATGGAGGCGTGTTTGGGTCATCCACATGCATGGAGGCGTGTTTGGGTCATCCACATGCATGGAGGCGTGTTTGGGTCATCCACATGCATGGAGGCGTGTTTGGGTCATCCACATGCATGGAGGCGTGTTTGGGTCATCCACATGCATGGAGGCGTGTTTGGGTCATCCACATGCATGGAGGCGTGTTTGGGTCATCCACATGCATGGAGGCGTGTTTGGGTCATCCACATGCATGGAGGCGTGTTTGGGTCATCCACATGCATGGAGGCGTGTTTGGGTCATCCACATGCATGGAGGCGTGTTTGGGTCATCCACATGCATGGAGGCGTGTTTGGGTCATCCCCATGCATGGAGGCGTGTTTGGGTCATCCCCATGCATGGAGGCGTGTTTGGGTCATCCACATGCATGGAGGCGTGTTTGGGTCATCCACATGCATGGAGGCGTGTTTGGGTCATCCACATGCATGGAGGCGTGTTTGGGTCATCCACATGCATGGAGGCGTGTTTGGGTCATCCACATGCATGGAGGCGTGTTTGGGTCATCCACATGCATGGAGGCGTGTTTGGGTCATCCACATGCATGGAGGCGTGTTTGGGTCATCCACATGCATGGAGGCGTGTTTGGGTCATCCCCATGCATGGAGGCGTGTTTGGGTCATCCCCATGCATGGAGGCGTGTTTGGGTCATCCCCATGCATGGAGGCGTGTTTGGGTCATCCACATGCATGGAGGCGTGTTTGGGTCATCCACATGCATGGAGGCGTGTTTGGGTCATCCCCATGCATGGAGGCGTGTTTGGGTCATCCACATGCATGGAGGCGTGTTTGGGTCATCCACATGCATGGAGGCGTGTTTGGGTCATCCACATGCATGGAGGCGTGTTTGGGTCATCCACATGCATGGAGGCGTGTTTGGGTCATCCACATGCATGGAGGCGTGTTTGGGTCATCCACATGCATGGAGGCGTGTTTGGGTCATCCCCATGCATGGAGGCGTGTTTGGGTCATCCCCATGCATGGAGGCGTGTTTGGGTCATCCACATGCATGGAGGCGTGTTTGGGTCATCCCCATGCATGGAGGCGTGTTTGGGTCATCCACATGCATGGAGGCGTGTTTGGGTCATCCACATGCATGGAGGCGTGTTTGGGTCATCCACATGCATGGAGGCGTGTTTGGGTCATCCACATGCATGGAGGCGTGTTTGGGTCATCCACATGCATGGAGGCGTGTTTGGGTCATCCCCATGCATGGAGGCGTGTTTGGGTCATCCCCATGCATGGAGGCGTGTTTGGGTCATCCCCATGCATGGAGGCGTGTTTGGGTCATCCCCATGCATGGAGGCGTGTTTGGGTCATCCCCATGCATGGAGGCGTGTTTGGGTCATCCCCATGCATGGAGGCGTGTTTGGGTCATCCACATGCATGGAGGCGTGTTTGGGTCATCCACATGCATGGAGGCGTGTTTGGGTCATCCACATGCATGGAGGCGTGTTTGGGTCATCCACATGCATGGAGGCGTGTTTGGGTCATCCACATGCATGGAGGCGTGTTTGGGTCATCCACATGCATGGAGGCGTGTTTGGGTCATCCCCATGCATGGAGGCGTGTTTGGGTCATCCCCATGCATGGAGGCGTGTTTGGGTCATCCCCATGCATGGAGGCGTGTTTGGGTCATCCACATGCATGGAGGCGTGTTTGGGTCATCCCCATGCATGGAGGCGTGTTTGGGTCATCCCCATGCATGGAGGCGTGTTTGGGTCATCCCCATGCATGGAGGCGTGTTTGGGTCATCCCCATGCATGGAGGCGTGTTTGGGTCATCCACATGCATGGAGGCGTGTTTGGGTCATCCCCATGCATGGAGGCGTGTTTGGGTCATCCCCATGCATGGAGGCGTGTTTGGGTCATCCCCATGCATGGAGGCGTGTTTGGGTCATCCACATGCATGGAGGCGTGTTTGGGTCATCCACATGCATGGAGGCGTGTTTGGGTCATCCCCATGCATGGAGGCGTGTTTGGGTCATCCCCATGCATGGAGGCGTGTTTGGGTCATCCACATGCATGGAGGCGTGTTTGGGTCATCCACATGCATGGAGGCGTGTTTGGGTCATCCACATGCATGGAGGCGTGTTTGGGTCATCCACATGCATGGAGGCGTGTTTGGGTCATCCACATGCATGGAGGCGTGTTTGGGTCATCCACATGCATGGAGGCGTGTTTGGGTCATCCACATGCATGGAGGCGTGTTTGGGTCATCCCCATGCATGGAGGCGTGTTTGGGTCATCCACATGCATGGAGGCGTGTTTGGGTCATCCACATGCATGGAGGCGTGTTTGGGTCATCCACATGCATGGAGGCGTGTTTGGGTCATCCACATGCATGGAGGCGTGTTTGGGTCATCCACATGCATGGAGGCGTGTTTGGGTCATCCACATGCATGGAGGCGTGTTTGGGTCATCCACATGCATGGAGGCGTGTTTGGGTCATCCACATGCATGGAGGCGTGTTTGGGTCATCCACATGCATGGAGGCGTGTTTGGGTCATCCCCATGCATGGAGGCGTGTTTGGGTCATCCACATGCATGGAGGCGTGTTTGGGTCATCCACATGCATGGAGGCGTGTTTGGGTCATCCACATGCATGGAGGCGTGTTTGGGTCATCCACATGCATGGAGGCGTGTTTGGGTCATCCCCATGCATGGAGGCGTGTTTGGGTCATCCCCATGCATGGAGGCGTGTTTGGGTCATCCACATGCATGGAGGCGTGTTTGGGTCATCCACATGCATGGAGGCGTGTTTGGGTCATCCACATGCATGGAGGCGTGTTTGGGTCATCCACATGCATGGAGGCGTGTTTGGGTCATCCACATGCATGGAGGCGTGTTTGGGTCATCCACATGCATGGAGGCGTGTTTGGGTCATCCACATGCATGGAGGCGTGTTTGGGTCATCCACATGCATGGAGGCGTGTTTGGGTCATCCACATGCATGGAGGCGTGTTTGGGTCATCCACATGCATGGAGGCGTGTTTGGGTCATCCCCATGCATGGAGGCGTGTTTGGGTCATCCACATGCATGGAGGCGTGTTTGGGTCATCCACATGCATGGAGGCGTGTTTGGGTCATCCACATGCATGGAGGCGTGTTTGGGTCATCCACATGCATGGAGGCGTGTTTGGGTCATCCCCATGCATGGAGGCGTGTTTGGGTCATCCCCATGCATGGAGGCGTGTTTGGGTCATCCACATGCATGGAGGCGTGTTTGGGTCATCCACATGCATGGAGGCGTGTTTGGGTCATCCCCATGCATGGAGGCGTGTTTGGGTCATCCCCATGCATGGAGGCGTGTTTGGGTCATCCCCATGCATGGAGGCGTGTTTGGGTCATCCCCATGCATGGAGGCGTGTTTGGGTCATCCCCATGCATGGAGGCGTGTTTGGGTCATCCACATGCATGGAGGCGTGTTTGGGTCATCCCCATGCATGGAGGCGTGTTTGGGTCATCCCCATGCATGGAGGCGTGTTTGGGTCATCCACATGCATGGAGGCGTGTTTGGGTCATCCCCATGCATGGAGGCGTGTTTGGGTCATCCCCATGCATGGAGGCGTGTTTGGGTCATCCACATGCATGGAGGCGTGTTTGGGTCATCCACATGCATGGAGGCGTGTTTGGGTCATCCCCATGCATGGAGGCGTGTTTGGGTCATCCCCATGCATGGAGGCGTGTTTGGGTCATCCACATGCATGGAGGCGTGTTTGGGTCATCCCCATGCATGGAGGCGTGTTTGGGTCATCCACATGCATGGAGGCGTGTTTGGGTCATCCACATGCATGGAGGCGTGTTTGGGTCATCCACATGCATGGAGGCGTGTTTGGGTCATCCCCATGCATGGAGGCGTGTTTGGGTCATCCACATGCATGGAGGCGTGTTTGGGTCATCCACATGCATGGAGGCGTGTTTGGGTCATCCACATGCATGGAGGCGTGTTTGGGTCATCCACATGCATGGAGGCGTGTTTGGGTCATCCACATGCATGGAGGCGTGTTTGGGTCATCCACATGCATGGAGGCGTGTTTGGGTCATCCACATGCATGGAGGCGTGTTTGGGTCATCCACATGCATGGAGGCGTGTTTGGGTCATCCACATGCATGGAGGCGTGTTTGGGTCATCCACATGCATGGAGGCGTGTTTGGGTCATCCACATGCATGGAGGCGTGTTTGGGTCATCCACATGCATGGAGGCGTGTTTGGGTCATCCACATGCATGGAGGCGTGTTTGGGTCATCCACATGCATGGAGGCGTGTTTGGGTCATCCACATGCATGGAGGCGTGTTTGGGTCATCCACATGCATGGAGGCGTGTTTGGGTCATCCACATGCATGGAGGCGTGTTTGGGTCATCCACATGCATGGAGGCGTGTTTGGGTCATCCACATGCATGGAGGCGTGTTTGGGTCATCCACATGCATGGAGGCGTGTTTGGGTCATCCACATGCATGGAGGCGTGTTTGGGTCATCCACATGCATGGAGGCGTGTTTGGGTCATCCACATGCATGGAGGCGTGTTTGGGTCATCCACATGCATGGAGGCGTGTTTGGGTCATCCACATGCATGGAGGCGTGTTTGGGTCATCCACATGCATGGAGGCGTGTTTGGGTCATCCACATGCATGGAGGCGTGTTTGGGTCATCCACATGCATGGAGGCGTGTTTGGGTCATCCACATGCATGGAGGCGTGTTTGGGTCATCCACATGCATGGAGGCGTGTTTGGGTCATCCACATGCATGGAGGCGTGTTTGGGTCATCCCCATGCATGGAGGCGTGTTTGGGTCATCCCCATGCATGGAGGCGTGTTTGGGTCATCCCCATGCATGGAGGCGTGTTTGGGTCATCCCCATGCATGGAGGCGTGTTTGGGTCATCCCCATGCATGGAGGCGTGTTTGGGTCATCCCCATGCATGGAGGCGTGTTTGGGTCATCCACATGCATGGAGGCGTGTTTGGGTCATCCACATGCATGGAGGCGTGTTTGGGTCATCCACATGCATGGAGGCGTGTTTGGGTCATCCCCATGCATGGAGGCGTGTTTGGGTCATCCACATGCATGGAGGCGTGTTTGGGTCATCCACATGCATGGAGGCGTGTTTGGGTCATCCACATGCATGGAGGCGTGTTTGGGTCATCCACATGCATGGAGGCGTGTTTGGGTCATCCCCATGCATGGAGGCGTGTTTGGGTCATCCCCATGCATGGAGGCGTGTTTGGGTCATCCCCATGCATGGAGGCGTGTTTGGGTCATCCCCATGCATGGAGGCGTGTTTGGGTCATCCCCATGCATGGAGGCGTGTTTGGGTCATCCACATGCATGGAGGCGTGTTTGGGTCATCCCCATGCATGGAGGCGTGTTTGGGTCATCCCCATGCATGGAGGCGTGTTTGGGTCATCCCCATGCATGGAGGCGTGTTTGGGTCATCCACATGCATGGAGGCGTGTTTGGGTCATCCACATGCATGGAGGCGTGTTTGGGTCATCCACATGCATGGAGGCGTGTTTGGGTCATCCACATGCATGGAGGCGTGTTTGGGTCATCCACATGCATGGAGGCGTGTTTGGGTCATCCCCATGCATGGAGGCGTGTTTGGGTCATCCACATGCATGGAGGCGTGTTTGGGTCATCCACATGCATGGAGGCGTGTTTGGGTCATCCACATGCATGGAGGCGTGTTTGGGTCATCCACATGCATGGAGGCGTGTTTGGGTCATCCACATGCATGGAGGCGTGTTTGGGTCATCCACATGCATGGAGGCGTGTTTGGGTCATCCCCATGCATGGAGGCGTGTTTGGGTCATCCCCATGCATGGAGGCGTGTTTGGGTCATCCCCATGCATGGAGGCGTGTTTGGGTCATCCACATGCATGGAGGCGTGTTTGGGTCATCCACATGCATGGAGGCGTGTTTGGGTCATCCACATGCATGGAGGCGTGTTTGGGTCATCCACATGCATGGAGGCGTGTTTGGGTCATCCACATGCATGGAGGCGTGTTTGGGTCATCCACATGCATGGAGGCGTGTTTGGGTCATCCACATGCATGGAGGCGTGTTTGGGTCATCCACATGCATGGAGGCGTGTTTGGGTCATCCACATGCATGGAGGCGTGTTTGGGTCATCCACATGCATGGAGGCGTGTTTGGGTCATCCACATGCATGGAGGCGTGTTTGGGTCATCCACATGCATGGAGGCGTGTTTGGGTCATCCCCATGCATGGAGGCGTGTTTGGGTCATCCCCATGCATGGAGGCGTGTTTGGGTCATCCCCATGCATGGAGGCGTGTTTGGGTCATCCCCATGCATGGAGGCGTGTTTGGGTCATCCACATGCATGGAGGCGTGTTTGGGTCATCCACATGCATGGAGGCGTGTTTGGGTCATCCACATGCATGGAGGCGTGTTTGGGTCATCCACATGCATGGAGGCGTGTTTGGGTCATCCACATGCATGGAGGCGTGTTTGGGTCATCCACATGCATGGAGGCGTGTTTGGGTCATCCCCATGCATGGAGGCGTGTTTGGGTCATCCACATGCATGGAGGCGTGTTTGGGTCATCCACATGCATGGAGGCGTGTTTGGGTCATCCACATGCATGGAGGCGTGTTTGGGTCATCCACATGCATGGAGGCGTGTTTGGGTCATCCACATGCATGGAGGCGTGTTTGGGTCATCCACATGCATGGAGGCGTGTTTGGGTCATCCACATGCATGGAGGCGTGTTTGGGTCATCCACATGCATGGAGGCGTGTTTGGGTCATCCACATGCATGGAGGCGTGTTTGGGTCATCCCCATGCATGGAGGCGTGTTTGGGTCATCCCCATGCATGGAGGCGTGTTTGGGTCATCCCCATGCATGGAGGCGTGTTTGGGTCATCCCCATGCATGGAGGCGTGTTTGGGTCATCCCCATGCATGGAGGCGTGTTTGGGTCATCCACATGCATGGAGGCGTGTTTGGGTCATCCACATGCATGGAGGCGTGTTTGGGTCATCCACATGCATGGAGGCGTGTTTGGGTCATCCCCATGCATGGAGGCGTGTTTGGGTCATCCACATGCATGGAGGCGTGTTTGGGTCATCCACATGCATGGAGGCGTGTTTGGGTCATCCACATGCATGGAGGCGTGTTTGGGTCATCCACATGCATGGAGGCGTGTTTGGGTCATCCACATGCATGGAGGCGTGTTTGGGTCATCCACATGCATGGAGGCGTGTTTGGGTCATCCCCATGCATGGAGGCGTGTTTGGGTCATCCCCATGCATGGAGGCGTGTTTGGGTCATCCCCATGCATGGAGGCGTGTTTGGGTCATCCACATGCATGGAGGCGTGTTTGGGTCATCCACATGCATGGAGGCGTGTTTGGGTCATCCACATGCATGGAGGCGTGTTTGGGTCATCCACATGCATGGAGGCGTGTTTGGGTCATCCACATGCATGGAGGCGTGTTTGGGTCATCCACATGCATGGAGGCGTGTTTGGGTCATCCACATGCATGGAGGCGTGTTTGGGTCATCCACATGCATGGAGGCGTGTTTGGGTCATCCACATGCATGGAGGCGTGTTTGGGTCATCCACATGCATGGAGGCGTGTTTGGGTCATCCACATGCATGGAGGCGTGTTTGGGTCATCCACATGCATGGAGGCGTGTTTGGGTCATCCCCATGCATGGAGGCGTGTTTGGGTCATCCCCATGCATGGAGGCGTGTTTGGGTCATCCCCATGCATGGAGGCGTGTTTGGGTCATCCCCATGCATGGAGGCGTGTTTGGGTCATCCACATGCATGGAGGCGTGTTTGGGTCATCCACATGCATGGAGGCGTGTTTGGGTCATCCACATGCATGGAGGCGTGTTTGGGTCATCCACATGCATGGAGGCGTGTTTGGGTCATCCACATGCATGGAGGCGTGTTTGGGTCATCCACATGCATGGAGGCGTGTTTGGGTCATCCCCATGCATGGAGGCGTGTTTGGGTCATCCACATGCATGGAGGCGTGTTTGGGTCATCCACATGCATGGAGGCGTGTTTGGGTCATCCACATGCATGGAGGCGTGTTTGGGTCATCCACATGCATGGAGGCGTGTTTGGGTCATCCACATGCATGGAGGCGTGTTTGGGTCATCCACATGCATGGAGGCGTGTTTGGGTCATCCACATGCATGGAGGCGTGTTTGGGTCATCCACATGCATGGAGGCGTGTTTGGGTCATCCACATGCATGGAGGCGTGTTTGGGTCATCCCCATGCATGGAGGCGTGTTTGGGTCATCCCCATGCATGGAGGCGTGTTTGGGTCATCCCCATGCATGGAGGCGTGTTTGGGTCATCCACATGCATGGAGGCGTGTTTGGGTCATCCACATGCATGGAGGCGTGTTTGGGTCATCCCCATGCATGGAGGCGTGTTTGGGTCATCCCCATGCATGGAGGCGTGTTTGGGTCATCCCCATGCATGGAGGCGTGTTTGGGTCATCCCCATGCATGGAGGCGTGTTTGGGTCATCCACATGCATGGAGGCGTGTTTGGGTCATCCACATGCATGGAGGCGTGTTTGGGTCATCCACATGCATGGAGGCGTGTTTGGGTCATCCACATGCATGGAGGCGTGTTTGGGTCATCCACATGCATGGAGGCGTGTTTGGGTCATCCCCATGCATGGAGGCGTGTTTGGGTCATCCACATGCATGGAGGCGTGTTTGGGTCATCCACATGCATGGAGGCGTGTTTGGGTCATCCACATGCATGGAGGCGTGTTTGGGTCATCCACATGCATGGAGGCGTGTTTGGGTCATCCACATGCATGGAGGCGTGTTTGGGTCATCCACATGCATGGAGGCGTGTTTGGGTCATCCACATGCATGGAGGCGTGTTTGGGTCATCCACATGCATGGAGGCGTGTTTGGGTCATCCACATGCATGGAGGCGTGTTTGGGTCATCCACATGCATGGAGGCGTGTTTGGGTCATCCACATGCATGGAGGCGTGTTTGGGTCATCCACATGCATGGAGGCGTGTTTGGGTCATCCACATGCATGGAGGCGTGTTTGGGTCATCCACATGCATGGAGGCGTGTTTGGGTCATCCACATGCATGGAGGCGTGTTTGGGTCATCCACATGCATGGAGGCGTGTTTGGGTCATCCACATGCATGGAGGCGTGTTTGGGTCATCCACATGCATGGAGGCGTGTTTGGGTCATCCACATGCATGGAGGCGTGTTTGGGTCATCCACATGCATGGAGGCGTGTTTGGGTCATCCACATGCATGGAGGCGTGTTTGGGTCATCCACATGCATGGAGGCGTGTTTGGGTCATCCACATGCATGGAGGCGTGTTTGGGTCATCCACATGCATGGAGGCGTGTTTGGGTCATCCACATGCATGGAGGCGTGTTTGGGTCATCCACATGCATGGAGGCGTGTTTGGGTCATCCACATGCATGGAGGCGTGTTTGGGTCATCCACATGCATGGAGGCGTGTTTGGGTCATCCACATGCATGGAGGCGTGTTTGGGTCATCCACATGCATGGAGGCGTGTTTGGGTCATCCACATGCATGGAGGCGTGTTTGGGTCATCCACATGCATGGAGGCGTGTTTGGGTCATCCACATGCATGGAGGCGTGTTTGGGTCATCCACATGCATGGAGGCGTGTTTGGGTCATCCACATGCATGGAGGCGTGTTTGGGTCATCCACATGCATGGAGGCGTGTTTGGGTCATCCACATGCATGGAGGCGTGTTTGGGTCATCCACATGCATGGAGGCGTGTTTGGGTCATCCACATGCATGGAGGCGTGTTTGGGTCATCCACATGCATGGAGGCGTGTTTGGGTCATCCACATGCATGGAGGCGTGTTTGGGTCATCCACATGCATGGAGGCGTGTTTGGGTCATCCACATGCATGGAGGCGTGTTTGGGTCATCCACATGCATGGAGGCGTGTTTGGGTCATCCACATGCATGGAGGCGTGTTTGGGTCATCCACATGCATGGAGGCGTGTTTGGGTCATCCACATGCATGGAGGCGTGTTTGGGTCATCCACATGCATGGAGGCGTGTTTGGGTCATCCACATGCATGGAGGCGTGTTTGGGTCATCCACATGCATGGAGGCGTGTTTGGGTCATCCACATGCATGGAGGCGTGTTTGGGTCATCCACATGCATGGAGGCGTGTTTGGGTCATCCACATGCATGGAGGCGTGTTTGGGTCATCCACATGCATGGAGGCGTGTTTGGGTCATCCACATGCATGGAGGCGTGTTTGGGTCATCCACATGCATGGAGGCGTGTTTGGGTCATCCACATGCATGGAGGCGTGTTTGGGTCATCCACATGCATGGAGGCGTGTTTGGGTCATCCACATGCATGGAGGCGTGTTTGGGTCATCCCCATGCATGGAGGCGTGTTTGGGTCATCCCCATGCATGGAGGCGTGTTTGGGTCATCCACATGCATGGAGGCGTGTTTGGGTCATCCCCATGCATGGAGGCGTGTTTGGGTCATCCACATGCATGGAGGCGTGTTTGGGTCATCCACATGCATGGAGGCGTGTTTGGGTCATCCACATGCATGGAGGCGTGTTTGGGTCATCCACATGCATGGAGGCGTGTTTGGGTCATCCACATGCATGGAGGCGTGTTTGGGTCATCCACATGCATGGAGGCGTGTTTGGGTCATCCACATGCATGGAGGCGTGTTTGGGTCATCCACATGCATGGAGGCGTGTTTGGGTCATCCCCATGCATGGAGGCGTGTTTGGGTCATCCCCATGCATGGAGGCGTGTTTGGGTCATCCCCATGCATGGAGGCGTGTTTGGGTCATCCCCATGCATGGAGGCGTGTTTGGGTCATCCACATGCATGGAGGCGTGTTTGGGTCATCCACATGCATGGAGGCGTGTTTGGGTCATCCACATGCATGGAGGCGTGTTTGGGTCATCCCCATGCATGGAGGCGTGTTTGGGTCATCCACATGCATGGAGGCGTGTTTGGGTCATCCACATGCATGGAGGCGTGTTTGGGTCATCCACATGCATGGAGGCGTGTTTGGGTCATCCACATGCATGGAGGCGTGTTTGGGTCATCCACATGCATGGAGGCGTGTTTGGGTCATCCACATGCATGGAGGCGTGTTTGGGTCATCCACATGCATGGAGGCGTGTTTGGGTCATCCCCATGCATGGAGGCGTGTTTGGGTCATCCCCATGCATGGAGGCGTGTTTGGGTCATCCACATGCATGGAGGCGTGTTTGGGTCATCCCCATGCATGGAGGCGTGTTTGGGTCATCCACATGCATGGAGGCGTGTTTGGGTCATCCACATGCATGGAGGCGTGTTTGGGTCATCCACATGCATGGAGGCGTGTTTGGGTCATCCACATGCATGGAGGCGTGTTTGGGTCATCCACATGCATGGAGGCGTGTTTGGGTCATCCACATGCATGGAGGCGTGTTTGGGTCATCCACATGCATGGAGGCGTGTTTGGGTCATCCACATGCATGGAGGCGTGTTTGGGTCATCCCCATGCATGGAGGCGTGTTTGGGTCATCCCCATGCATGGAGGCGTGTTTGGGTCATCCCCATGCATGGAGGCGTGTTTGGGTCATCCCCATGCATGGAGGCGTGTTTGGGTCATCCACATGCATGGAGGCGTGTTTGGGTCATCCACATGCATGGAGGCGTGTTTGGGTCATCCACATGCATGGAGGCGTGTTTGGGTCATCCCCATGCATGGAGGCGTGTTTGGGTCATCCCCATGCATGGAGGCGTGTTTGGGTCATCCCCATGCATGGAGGCGTGTTTGGGTCATCCACATGCATGGAGGCGTGTTTGGGTCATCCACATGCATGGAGGCGTGTTTGGGTCATCCACATGCATGGAGGCGTGTTTGGGTCATCCACATGCATGGAGGCGTGTTTGGGTCATCCCCATGCATGGAGGCGTGTTTGGGTCATCCCCATGCATGGAGGCGTGTTTGGGTCATCCCCATGCATGGAGGCGTGTTTGGGTCATCCACATGCATGGAGGCGTGTTTGGGTCATCCCCATGCATGGAGGCGTGTTTGGGTCATCCACATGCATGGAGGCGTGTTTGGGTCATCCACATGCATGGAGGCGTGTTTGGGTCATCCCCATGCATGGAGGCGTGTTTGGGTCATCCACATGCATGGAGGCGTGTTTGGGTCATCCACATGCATGGAGGCGTGTTTGGGTCATCCACATGCATGGAGGCGTGTTTGGGTCATCCACATGCATGGAGGCGTGTTTGGGTCATCCCCATGCATGGAGGCGTGTTTGGGTCATCCCCATGCATGGAGGCGTGTTTGGGTCATCCCCATGCATGGAGGCGTGTTTGGGTCATCCACATGCATGGAGGCGTGTTTGGGTCATCCCCATGCATGGAGGCGTGTTTGGGTCATCCCCATGCATGGAGGCGTGTTTGGGTCATCCCCATGCATGGAGGCGTGTTTGGGTCATCCACATGCATGGAGGCGTGTTTGGGTCATCCACATGCATGGAGGCGTGTTTGGGTCATCCACATGCATGGAGGCGTGTTTGGGTCATCCCCATGCATGGAGGCGTGTTTGGGTCATCCCCATGCATGGAGGCGTGTTTGGGTCATCCACATGCATGGAGGCGTGTTTGGGTCATCCCCATGCATGGAGGCGTGTTTGGGTCATCCCCATGCATGGAGGCGTGTTTGGGTCATCCCCATGCATGGAGGCGTGTTTGGGTCATCCCCATGCATGGAGGCGTGTTTGGGTCATCCACATGCATGGAGGCGTGTTTGGGTCATCCACATGCATGGAGGCGTGTTTGGGTCATCCCCATGCATGGAGGCGTGTTTGGGTCATCCCCATGCATGGAGGCGTGTTTGGGTCATCCACATGCATGGAGGCGTGTTTGGGTCATCCACATGCATGGAGGCGTGTTTGGGTCATCCCCATGCATGGAGGCGTGTTTGGGTCATCCCCATGCATGGAGGCGTGTTTGGGTCATCCCCATGCATGGAGGCGTGTTTGGGTCATCCCCATGCATGGAGGCGTGTTTGGGTCATCCACATGCATGGAGGCGTGTTTGGGTCATCCACATGCATGGAGGCGTGTTTGGGTCATCCACATGCATGGAGGCGTGTTTGGGTCATCCCCATGCATGGAGGCGTGTTTGGGTCATCCCCATGCATGGAGGCGTGTTTGGGTCATCCCCATGCATGGAGGCGTGTTTGGGTCATCCACATGCATGGAGGCGTGTTTGGGTCATCCACATGCATGGAGGCGTGTTTGGGTCATCCACATGCATGGAGGCGTGTTTGGGTCATCCACATGCATGGAGGCGTGTTTGGGTCATCCCCATGCATGGAGGCGTGTTTGGGTCATCCCCATGCATGGAGGCGTGTTTGGGTCATCCACATGCATGGAGGCGTGTTTGGGTCATCCACATGCATGGAGGCGTGTTTGGGTCATCCACATGCATGGAGGCGTGTTTGGGTCATCCCCATGCATGGAGGCGTGTTTGGGTCATCCCCATGCATGGAGGCGTGTTTGGGTCATCCCCATGCATGGAGGCGTGTTTGGGTCATCCCCATGCATGGAGGCGTGTTTGGGTCATCCACATGCATGGAGGCGTGTTTGGGTCATCCACATGCATGGAGGCGTGTTTGGGTCATCCACATGCATGGAGGCGTGTTTGGGTCATCCCCATGCATGGAGGCGTGTTTGGGTCATCCCCATGCATGGAGGCGTGTTTGGGTCATCCCCATGCATGGAGGCGTGTTTGGGTCATCCACATGCATGGAGGCGTGTTTGGGTCATCCACATGCATGGAGGCGTGTTTGGGTCATCCACATGCATGGAGGCGTGTTTGGGTCATCCACATGCATGGAGGCGTGTTTGGGTCATCCCCATGCATGGAGGCGTGTTTGGGTCATCCCCATGCATGGAGGCGTGTTTGGGTCATCCCCATGCATGGAGGCGTGTTTGGGTCATCCACATGCATGGAGGCGTGTTTGGGTCATCCCCATGCATGGAGGCGTGTTTGGGTCATCCCCATGCATGGAGGCGTGTTTGGGTCATCCCCATGCATGGAGGCGTGTTTGGGTCATCCACATGCATGGAGGCGTGTTTGGGTCATCCACATGCATGGAGGCGTGTTTGGGTCATCCACATGCATGGAGGCGTGTTTGGGTCATCCCCATGCATGGAGGCGTGTTTGGGTCATCCCCATGCATGGAGGCGTGTTTGGGTCATCCACATGCATGGAGGCGTGTTTGGGTCATCCCCATGCATGGAGGCGTGTTTGGGTCATCCCCATGCATGGAGGCGTGTTTGGGTCATCCCCATGCATGGAGGCGTGTTTGGGTCATCCCCATGCATGGAGGCGTGTTTGGGTCATCCACATGCATGGAGGCGTGTTTGGGTCATCCACATGCATGGAGGCGTGTTTGGGTCATCCCCATGCATGGAGGCGTGTTTGGGTCATCCCCATGCATGGAGGCGTGTTTGGGTCATCCACATGCATGGAGGCGTGTTTGGGTCATCCACATGCATGGAGGCGTGTTTGGGTCATCCCCATGCATGGAGGCGTGTTTGGGTCATCCCCATGCATGGAGGCGTGTTTGGGTCATCCCCATGCATGGAGGCGTGTTTGGGTCATCCCCATGCATGGAGGCGTGTTTGGGTCATCCACATGCATGGAGGCGTGTTTGGGTCATCCACATGCATGGAGGCGTGTTTGGGTCATCCACATGCATGGAGGCGTGTTTGGGTCATCCCCATGCATGGAGGCGTGTTTGGGTCATCCCCATGCATGGAGGCGTGTTTGGGTCATCCCCATGCATGGAGGCGTGTTTGGGTCATCCACATGCATGGAGGCGTGTTTGGGTCATCCACATGCATGGAGGCGTGTTTGGGTCATCCACATGCATGGAGGCGTGTTTGGGTCATCCACATGCATGGAGGCGTGTTTGGGTCATCCCCATGCATGGAGGCGTGTTTGGGTCATCCCCATGCATGGAGGCGTGTTTGGGTCATCCCCATGCATGGAGGCGTGTTTGGGTCATCCACATGCATGGAGGCGTGTTTGGGTCATCCCCATGCATGGAGGCGTGTTTGGGTCATCCACATGCATGGAGGCGTGTTTGGGTCATCCCCATGCATGGAGGCGTGTTTGGGTCATCCACATGCATGGAGGCGTGTTTGGGTCATCCCCATGCATGGAGGCGTGTTTGGGTCATCCACATGCATGGAGGCGTGTTTGGGTCATCCACATGCATGGAGGCGTGTTTGGGTCATCCCCATGCATGGAGGCGTGTTTGGGTCATCCCCATGCATGGAGGCGTGTTTGGGTCATCCCCATGCATGGAGGCGTGTTTGGGTCATCCACATGCATGGAGGCGTGTTTGGGTCATCCACATGCATGGAGGCGTGTTTGGGTCATCCACATGCATGGAGGCGTGTTTGGGTCATCCACATGCATGGAGGCGTGTTTGGGTCAGCACATGCATGGAGGCGTGTTTGGGTCATCCACATGCATGGAGGCGTGTTTGGGTCATCCACATGCATGGAGGCGTGTTTGGGTCATCCACATGCATGGAGGCGTGTTTGGGTCATCCCCATGCATGGAGGCGTGTTTGGGTCATCCCCATGCATGGAGGCGTGTTTGGGTCATCCCCATGCATGGAGGCGTGTTTGGGTCATCCCCATGCATGGAGGCGTGTTTGGGTCATCCACATGCATGGAGGCGTGTTTGGGTCATCCACATGCATGGAGGCGTGTTTGGGTCATCCACATGCATGGAGGCGTGTTTGGGTCATCCCCATGCATGGAGGCGTGTTTGGGTCATCCCCATGCATGGAGGCGTGTTTGGGTCATCCCCATGCATGGAGGCGTGTTTGGGTCATCCCCATGCATGGAGGCGTGTTTGGGTCATCCACATGCATGGAGGCGTGTTTGGGTCATCCACATGCATGGAGGCGTGTTTGGGTCATCCACATGCATGGAGGCGTGTTTGGGTCATCCCCATGCATGGAGGCGTGTTTGGGTCATCCCCATGCATGGAGGCGTGTTTGGGTCATCCCCATGCATGGAGGCGTGTTTGGGTCATCCACATGCATGGAGGCGTGTTTGGGTCATCCACATGCATGGAGGCGTGTTTGGGTCATCCACATGCATGGAGGCGTGTTTGGGTCATCCACATGCATGGAGGCGTGTTTGGGTCATCCCCATGCATGGAGGCGTGTTTGGGTCATCCACATGCATGGAGGCGTGTTTGGGTCATCCACATGCATGGAGGCGTGTTTGGGTCATCCCCATGCATGGAGGCGTGTTTGGGTCATCCCCATGCATGGAGGCGTGTTTGGGTCATCCACATGCATGGAGGCGTGTTTGGGTCATCCACATGCATGGAGGCGTGTTTGGGTCATCCACATGCATGGAGGCGTGTTTGGGTCATCCACATGCATGGAGGCGTGTTTGGGTCATCCCCATGCATGGAGGCGTGTTTGGGTCATCCCCATGCATGGAGGCGTGTTTGGGTCATCCCCATGCATGGAGGCGTGTTTGGGTCATCCCCATGCATGGAGGCGTGTTTGGGTCATCCACATGCATGGAGGCGTGTTTGGGTCATCCACATGCATGGAGGCGTGTTTGGGTCATCCACATGCATGGAGGCGTGTTTGGGTCATCCCCATGCATGGAGGCGTGTTTGGGTCATCCCCATGCATGGAGGCGTGTTTGGGTCATCCCCATGCATGGAGGCGTGTTTGGGTCATCCACATGCATGGAGGCGTGTTTGGGTCATCCACATGCATGGAGGCGTGTTTGGGTCATCCACATGCATGGAGGCGTGTTTGGGTCATCCACATGCATGGAGGCGTGTTTGGGTCATCCCCATGCATGGAGGCGTGTTTGGGTCATCCCCATGCATGGAGGCGTGTTTGGGTCATCCCCATGCATGGAGGCGTGTTTGGGTCATCCACATGCATGGAGGCGTGTTTGGGTCATCCCCATGCATGGAGGCGTGTTTGGGTCATCCACATGCATGGAGGCGTGTTTGGGTCATCCCCATGCATGGAGGCGTGTTTGGGTCATCCACATGCATGGAGGCGTGTTTGGGTCATCCCCATGCATGGAGGCGTGTTTGGGTCATCCACATGCATGGAGGCGTGTTTGGGTCATCCACATGCATGGAGGCGTGTTTGGGTCATCCCCATGCATGGAGGCGTGTTTGGGTCATCCCCATGCATGGAGGCGTGTTTGGGTCATCCCCATGCATGGAGGCGTGTTTGGGTCATCCACATGCATGGAGGCGTGTTTGGGTCATCCACATGCATGGAGGCGTGTTTGGGTCATCCACATGCATGGAGGCGTGTTTGGGTCATCCCCATGCATGGAGGCGTGTTTGGGTCATCCACATGCATGGAGGCGTGTTTGGGTCATCCACATGCATGGAGGCGTGTTTGGGTCATCCACATGCATGGAGGCGTGTTTGGGTCATCCACATGCATGGAGGCGTGTTTGGGTCATCCCCATGCATGGAGGCGTGTTTGGGTCATCCCCATGCATGGAGGCGTGTTTGGGTCATCCACATGCATGGAGGCGTGTTTGGGTCATCCACATGCATGGAGGCGTGTTTGGGTCATCCACATGCATGGAGGCGTGTTTGGGTCATCCCCATGCATGGAGGCGTGTTTGGGTCATCCACATGCATGGAGGCGTGTTTGGGTCATCCACATGCATGGAGGCGTGTTTGGGTCATCCACATGCATGGAGGCGTGTTTGGGTCATCCACATGCATGGAGGCGTGTTTGGGTCATCCCCATGCATGGAGGCGTGTTTGGGTCATCCCCATGCATGGAGGCGTGTTTGGGTCATCCACATGCATGGAGGCGTGTTTGGGTCATCCCCATGCATGGAGGCGTGTTTGGGTCATCCCCATGCATGGAGGCGTGTTTGGGTCATCCCCATGCATGGAGGCGTGTTTGGGTCATCCCCATGCATGGAGGCGTGTTTGGGTCATCCCCATGCATGGAGGCGTGTTTGGGTCATCCCCATGCATGGAGGCGTGTTTGGGTCATCCCCATGCATGGAGGCGTGTTTGGGTCATCCCCATGCATGGAGGCGTGTTTGGGTCATCCCCATGCATGGAGGCGTGTTTGGATCGGACTGTGCCTTTTCGTCACACTACCCGTGACTAACTTCTGCTGTCCATGCAACCCCATGCCTGTAGCCTGGCTGCCCCATGAGGGCCGCTCTGAAGTTCAAATACATCCCACTCTTTTCCTTTAATTGTGACGCCTGCCTGCCTTTCCCGTGTGTGCATGCACCATGCAATCCTCTGTCCCTGCACTCCCTGTCGGTGCCATCGCCTTCACCACCAGCAATCCCCTTCCTCTCAAGGTGAGCCCCACGGGGAAACCTCAACCTTGTAACGGCTTGCATGTTGGCGTCGTCCATTTCAGATTTGTCCACTGCCTTTCATCCTGCCTGCTTGCACATCCGCTTCCTGTGCTGCAACCCATGCATGCAGCTGTTGCACTCCCCTTCCCTGTGCTCTTCGCCGTGCTCCCACGCACTCTCCACACTCACCTCACTCACTCGCATGCCATTCCCATGGCTCTCCTCTTTTGCTGTCCTCGCCTCTTCTCCACTATGCCAATGCCAAGACATGCCCCTAACCTAACCACGGCCATGCTGGCCCCTACCACACCTACCAGTGCAACCACCGACCCCCCAAACGACCGCCCGTGCTGCCTCCCCACTCGTCCCCAACCCCGCAATCCTCCCCTTCTCCCCCACAGGTACCTGCAAGCCCTGCTGACGGAGGAGCTACCGTCACGCTTCCTGCGGCCCAACAGCAAGGTGGTGGATCTGCTCAAGGACCGCCCGCTGCCACCCGACCCCGACCAGCGCGAGTTCCGCGAGGGGCAGGTGGCGGGCGGCACACTGGGCTTCGCGGGGGAGCTGCAAGTGACGGTCATTGCCGCCCAGCGCGTCATCAACCTGCCCCTCGGTACAACCTCATTTGTCATGTTGTGGAGTCCCTCGTTTGTAGGCTGCTCGTTGCAGTCACACTCGGTGGAGTGGTGAGCTAAGTCAACGGATCACCCTCCGCAATCCACCCTCTGCTCCTCGTCCCCCTCGCCTCCTCCCAGGGCCACCCTTTCATGCTGCTCTAGCTGGGGCAGCGGGAAGCTCACAGCAAGCCATGGCGGGTGGAACCCCCCTCTCACGCCTGTCCCATCCCCCCCTCTCACTCCCCACTCCCCCAGGTGACAGCGACCCGTACGTGGTGTTGGAGTTGGGGCAGCAGGTGGCGCGCAGCAAGCGCAACAGCGAGACGTCGCTGGTGGGCCCGGCGGGGTACCCCATATGGAACCAAGACTTCGTGCTGCTAGTGCTCGACCCCTCCCTGCAGCGCCTCTCCGTGAAGCTGCGTGGGTCGCTGGGGCTCTTCTACGTTGACTTTGGGCACGGCTCGGTGAGGAGGGGGGGCAGGTGGGAGGGGGGAGGGGGGAGGGCGCAATGAAGGGGATGGGGACATAGTGAGAGAATGAGAGCAGGGTGAGGGGGGCAGGGCATGGTGGGGGAGGAGGGGAGTGTGAAGGGATGCAGGGCGCAATGAGCTCTGTGCATGGAATGAGCCGCTGCATTTGCTTCTCTCGTTGGAAGCCACCTGTCCGGCCCCTCTCTGCCTTCCCTCCTCTGCATCCTTTCAGGTGTGTGTGGACTCGCAACAGCACTCATGGCCAACGGACTTGGGGATGCTGCTGCTTCCCTCACTGCGCTGCACACCCCTTCCTCCCTCTCACTCCTCTTTGTCCCCATTCCTCTATCTTGCCTCTCCTCAATGCTGCCCATTCACTGCCCCCCTCCAGGTGCGCCTGGATTCCCTACAGGACACGGTGCCAACGGACGTGTGGGTACCGCTGCGCCTGCGGCTGCCGGTGGGGCGGAAGGCATGTGGGCGGGTGAAGATGCGGCTCACGTACAAGGCATTCGTGGCGGAGGACGACCAGCAGGACGTTGAGACGTTCGACCAGCCCTACACCGAGGCTGACAGCGACGGTGAGGGCGCTGACGCACTCGCTACCATTTCCCGCCTTCGGAAGTTTGTTGCTGACGTGGCGGACTCTGCTGCTCCGCCTGAGCTGATTAGGATCCTGGAGAATGTGAGGGTGGGCGAGATCCCACGTGTCGTTGACCTGGAGCGACTCAGCAGTGACGTGGCAAAGCTGTCTGACCTGGCGCGTGCGCTCGAGGTGGCGTTGTTCAAGGACGTCAACCGATTGGCGGAGCTCCCGAGGCTGTCAGATCTTCCCAAGATGAAGGAGTTCTCTGTGCTTGCTGAGCTGGCGAGCCTCCGCGCTGACATCGAACGGCTGGCGCAGGCGGCTCGTGCGCTGGAGCTGGGTGCTGAGCTGGAGAAACGTGTGAAGGTGGATCTGTCGCGCATCGATCTGGACCTGTCGTCCGTTGATCTGCCCAAGTGGGACGAGTGGATGGCTGTGCCGCGCCGTGCGCTGCCCCAGCCCAAGGACCTGGTGGAGCGATACCGGCTGCTGCTGCCCGATGCTGAGGCTCGGCGACGACAGCGGGAGCGAGAGGCGAGTGAGGAGAGAGGGGAGGAGGAGGAGGGCAATGATGATGATTTGGATGGTGGGAAAGGGGGTAAGGGACAGGGGAGTGGGGAGGGGAGAGGATGGTGGAGGAATTGGAGAAGTAGAAGGGGGGGTGTGGAAAGGAAGAGCGGGCGGGGAAGTGCTCCAAGAGTGGTGGGGCGAGGTGGTGAGGTGGGGCGAGGGAAGAGGGGAAGAGTGGAAGTGGAAGGAGGGAAGCGGGACAGAGGGGATGGAGAAGAGGCAGCGAGAGAAGGGAAGTTAGGTGGAGAAGGGAAGTTAGGTGGAGAAGGGAAGTTAGGTGGAGAAGGGAAGTTCGGTGGAGAAGGGAAGTTAGGTGGAGAAGGGAAGTTAGGTGGAGAAGGGAAGTTAGGTGGAGAAGGGAAGTTAGGTGGAGAAGGGAAGTTAGGTGGAGAAGGGAAGTTAGGTGGAGAAGGGAAGTTAGGTGGAGAAGGGAAGTTAGGTGGAGAAGGAGGGGGAGAAGCAGGGGGAGGGGAGCGGCCACCTGAGGGAAGGAAGAAGATACGACGGGTGACGCCAGCAGCGGTGGTGGAGGGGGGGGACAGGAGTGCCGTAGCAAGGAGAGGGGATGAGGGGAAGCGGGCGGAGGGGGTGGAGGGGGCGTTTGAATGGAGGGAGGCACTGCGGGTGTTTGAGGACGTGTGGGGCATGATGGACGGCTCCCCCTCCATGCAGCCGGGGTCGCTCTCGGGCAGACACAGCTCCTCCGTGCCCGATGCCCCGCTGTGGAATGGGCAGGCGCGCTCACACGCCCCGCCTCCCATGCCCGGTGCTGATGCGCGCAGCGGGAGTGCTGGGACAGCGCAGGGGAGGGCCGGCATAGGCGGGGAGGGGGGGCGGCGACTGGCAGTAGCAGGCAACGTGAGAGGGACTGCGGAGGGGGAGGGAGGGGTTGGAGAGGGACGGGATGGGAATGGGAAGGCAGCAGTGAGTGAGGAGAGGTTTGAGAGGGGTGAGATGGAAGGGGAAGGGAAGAGAGAGGGAGACAGCGGGGTGAGCGGGAATGGCAGTGTGGCAGAGAAATTGATCCGTGCTGATGTGGATGGGGAGGCTGCCAGCATTGCAGCACGTGAAGCTGGGTCAGCAGCAGCGGCCATGGCAGGACGAGGCAAGGGGTGGGTCTCGCCGTCCCTGCTGTCTGCTGGTGGTGGGGCTCCTGGTGGGCGCGGCACCTGGCATAGGGATGGTGACAGGGGGGGGAACGGAGATGAGCAGAATGCAGGAGGGCAACGTGGGAGTGTGGCAGTAGCAGGGGTGGAGGGGCGAGGGAAGGACGTGGAGAAGGGGGCGGAGGGTGGAGGCTCAACAAGGGGAGAGAGGAGGTGGTGGGAGGTGTGGAGGTGAGAGGTGAGGGATGAGAAGGGAGGAGGAGAACTAGGGAAGGGGAAACAGGGTTGGGGAGGCGGTGGGATTGTTGTAGGGATGGAAGAGATGGAAGTGAGGCTCTAGGATGGATGGAGGGATGATTTGCGCTCAGCTAGACAACGCGGTGTAATTGATGGTGGGGAGGCGAGGGCTCAGAGTCAGAGCAGGGGGAGAGAACGTTGAGGTGGTTGGGAAGGAAAGGCTTGAGTTTGAAAGTGGGGTGAGGGGCGGGGAGGGAAGGGAAGGGGGGATTGGCGGGGTGGCAGGTGGAGGCGGCTGTGGTGGTCTCGGTGTGGCGTCAGGGCTCAGGTGATCATGCTGTAGCTGGTGGCACCCGGTGGCACCTGGTGGCACCTGGTGGGACCTGGTGGCGGATGCACAGAATGTACGTGTCTTGAAGGTGTGTATAGGTGGCTCCTATTTATGTAGATATACCGTATGAATTATTCCCATGTGTTGTGCCACAGGATCGTAGTCATAGGTGTCCAATCAATGCAGGAGGTGTCCATAGTGCCAAATAAGGTTTGGTTGTAGGAGCAATGTGAAATTCAGAAACATGGCATGCTATTTTGAGGTATGGTTTGATACTGCCACAAGGCACTGGTGTGAAACGATGGTAGAAGGACAACAGCTCTATGCATGCATAGATCACCGAGTTTTATGCAATGTGTGCTTTTTGTACGCCCTCAGCATAAGATGTAATAGTCGGCTCTTTGGATCGAGGTGTGATGGAAATAAAACGATGTAGGTATAGTTAAACCTTCTTCCCAGTTACTTTCAAGAGGAACTTTTATCGCAGCATTTTAAAGCCGGTCAATCTTTCCAAGCAGGCCGCACCACAGGCATCCAAGATTGTGGCGGCGGGCATAGCGCGTGGTTCATCGTCCCATCCAGCCAAGTTTGAAGGCAATTCGAGAAAGACTTTTACCTCAGCCGAGGCAACCGCGTTTTATGCTAAAATAGATGAAGACTCCGATTGTAAGTAGGTGGCTGCGTGCCTGTTCAAAGCAATGCTGAAGCAAGTCGGCCCAAACCATATGTCATCGAAGGCTGCAGAATGCTGAAAAGCATGTCCGAGATAGGAGAAGACGCGCTTGACGAGACTCCTCCGGTTTCCCAGTCCGTGATTTCTCGTCAAAATTCATGCGGAAATGCTGCTCTTGGTGAGCTTCGCACTACGAAATCAGCTTATCACGTGGCTGACGAGATGGAACGACGGAGCGATGAAGCGGACCTGTTCCGCGTGGTGATCATTGGTGCGGGCCCAGCAGGTCTAGTTCTAGCGAATCACCTGCTGACACGTGGCGGTGGTAGGTTCCACGTAAGTGTGGTGGAGAAGAGCGAGGACCCGCGAAAGAAGGTGGAAGAGGCGGTGGAGGTCGCGAGGAGGTGAGCTGATCGCATTGGGGGGAGTGGCAGGGTGTAGGAAGGGCGTTGGGCAAAGAGTGGGGGATGTGAGGTGGCGAGGGGGAGACGGAGGGGGGTGGGGGAAGAGGGGGATGGCGGGATGTGAGCCAAGTGCTTGAGTGCGGGGTATGGTGGGCTGATATGATGATGGTACGAACGAACGAAATCGATCAAGAATTATCAGTCACGTACCCATCACTCTGCCCCATCGTTTTCCCTCCCATCCCCTTCTCCCACCTCTCATGTGCACATCGATTTTCTCCCTCCCATCTCCACCGTAGATATTCCATCGGACTCAACATCCGAGCGTTTCGATGCCTGGATGCCGTCCCTGGGCTGCTGAAGAAGGTGCGTCGCGGTAGAGTGGATCACGCAACAAGATTCCATGGTGCCATTGAATCCCACCGCGTCTTAACGAATGAAATGCCCCCCCCCCCCCCCCTCCCCCGGGGCTGGGATGCCTTTCCGATCTCTCCAAGTGGGAAGCACAGCACAAGGCAGAGGGGCTTCAAGTCCACTCCATAGTATGCATGCGACCGCTTTCTGCGGCGGGCACTGTTACTCCTTCCTTGTGATTCCCCACGGAAGAATGTTGAACCTGGCGCAGTAACTTTCCCCTTTAGGTCGTGCTGTGCGCGGCCCTGTCGTGGTGTCACTTGGCCCTCCGCCCGCCACCCACCAGGTGCTGGCCTGCATGGTTCCCGTGCGGCAGCTGTGCGTTGGCATCACTGCCAAGCCGTCAATCATCCCTTTCAGTGACAAGGTGAGCCCACTCGCTCCCCATGCATGCTCCTTGCAAGGCAGCTGTTTGACCCTGTTCGTCCCCTTTCATCCCTTTCCATGTCCAATTACGAGTTACCACAAGCGTTTGTCAAGCGTTTGTCGAGCCCTCCATCAAGCGTTTGTCCGTCCGTCCTCCCACCTCCCCCCTGCAGGACCCTCCAGTGCTGCTGGCTGATCGCACGGCCCTCTGCTGTGCTCTGCTGCACGCGCTTGTGGGGGAGGCTGAGCACGCAGGGATCCAAACTGGGGATTACGGGGAGGATGAGGGGGAGAAAAATGGGGAACGGCCAGTGGGGGATAACGGGGAGAGTAAAGAGGAGATGTGTGCGAGGGGATGCAGGGAGAGTGTGGATAGCATGGACGGCTCAGGAGATAGTGCGGTGACGCACGGCGACGGGTCATCACGGGGAGAGTTGGAGGTGTACTTCAACACGCGGTGCACAGGCATCGACACCACGGCACACACTGTGACCCTGCTGCCCACCCAGCACCTGCAGCAGCACGCGCCAGCCCAGCTCAGCTATGACCTCCTGGTACTCACAGCTCTGCTATGAACTCCACGTGCACCCTCTCCTGCCTCTTCCTCCACCGCACCCTATCCTGCCTCTTCCTCCACCGCACCCTGCGTGTGCAAGTTCACTTGCTTCATTGCGCCAAGGTCTCTTTGTCGTGCTTTGAGTGCCCTTCATGTCAGGTATCATATCATATCATATCAGATCATATAGAGCGTATCATGTCATATCGTATCATCCCATCCCATCCCATCCCATCCCATCCCATCCCACCCCATCCCATCCCATCCCATCCCATCCCATCCCATCCCATCCCATCCCATCCCATCCCATCCCATCCCATCCCATCTCATCCCATCCCATCCCATCCCATCCCACCCCATCCCATCCCATCCCATCCCATCCCATCCCATCCCATCCCATCCCATCCCATCCCATGCCATCCCATCGCATCCCATGCCAATGACAGGTGGGGGCGGACGGGGTGCGCTCCATGGTCCGGAGCATGCTAATGAGCAGCACGAGGGAGTTCGCCATCGAGGCGCTGCCCCTCTTTGGGGAGTGGGCTGTTGCCTCCATCCCTGCCCCCGCCTCCCTTCCCCCCAACTCCATGATTCTTGTTCCAAGGGTAAGTGGTAACCATGTAACTGCATGCCTTGAAGGCGCCCCAGGCACAGTGGTGGCGCTATAGTCGTGCGGGTGGCTGGCACCCGCTGATGGAGTCTCACAGACTGCATAGCACCAGCCGTTTGCAGAGACGGCACCCTGTGCTGTGCTGCCTCGGTCCCCCGTCCCACACCCTTCGCTACGCAAGAGGAGGGTGTGCAGTGGTGAGGCTCCCTGCTCAACCGCGCCTCCCTCCGCTCCTCCTCACCCCACTCATGCAGGTTCCCCGCACTCCTGGCATATCGGTGGTGGGGCTCCCAGCACAGGGCGGCAAGCTTTGTCTCTTGTGGACGTGGTCGGCGTTGGCACGGCCCGCTGAGTGGTTGGCGCTGAGAAGCAATGATGCGGACAGGGAGGACCATGCGGTGGGAAGGACGGACGCAAGGAAGGAGGGGGAAAGCGTGGGTAGCAAGCAGGGTGTGACTGGTGCAACGGAGAATGCAGCAGGTGAAGGGAGTGTGGCTGGAGGCTGTGGAAATGCAGACAGAGCGGTTGCAGCAGATGGGGAAGGGGCGGAAGTGAGGGAGAGGGGAGAAGATAAGGGGGGCAGGTGGAGCAGGAGGGCAGGAGAAGCAGAGCGAGGGCGTACATTGAAGAGAGAGTGCCGTGGCTGGGAATGACAGAGGAAGGGGCGGAGACACTGTTGAACCAGCAGCCACGCACAAGCATGAGGGTGAGACGGGTGCTGTGTGGGTCGAATGTGGGTGAGACGGGTGGTGTGAGAGACAAATGAGGGTGAGACGGGTGGTGTCAGAGACAAATGGCCCTTCTCCTTCTCTTTCTCTTCCCCGTTGCTCTGTTTTCCGCCCCTTGCTGCCGCCCCTCTCATCTCTGAGCCTCCCTTTTGAATTCCAACCTTCCCTTCACCCGTCTCCCTTCACCTGTTGTCCTCCGCTTATATCCCCTGCCTCTCTCCCCTCCGAACCTCCTCCCTCCCTGCCCCCATTCCCACTCCTCCCCACCCCATACCTGCCCCCGTCCCATCCTGCCCCCCTGCCCTCCCCCATTCCCGCACCACACCTTCCCCCAATCAGATCAAGTGCTGGCAGTATCACGACTCTGCCGCCCAAATCGCTCTAATCGGCGACTCAGCACACGCCACGTGTCCATCCCTGGGCCAGGGCTGCAACGCCGCCATTACCGATGCTACAGTGCTTGCCCGGCTGCTTCTGGGGGAGGTTGTATGCAGGGATACCCTAATTCCTTCATACACAAAGGAAACCACCTGGAAGCTGCTTCAGAGCGCTTGGGGCAGCGAAGGAAATGAAGGGGTGGATTCAGAGAGAGAGGTGAAGTGCGGCACTAAGGGGTCTTGTGCTCTGAGCAGGTTGAATTGGTCGTTGACTCGTTTCGTCCGGAACTTATCAAGGCTGACAGGGTTGGGGGGCAGAGTGGCGCCAGAGAGAACAGCAGGCGGGGGGGCAGAGGAGGGGAGGAGGGAGGCAGGCAGAGAAATGTGTGTAGCATCACCGCAGCACTTGCGCTCACACCTTGCTGTCATGCTCGCTTGCTACTCTGCTCTTCAGGTGAGAGCCACGGCACTGTGCCCGCATAGCAAAGCAAGTTGAAAGTATGCATTGCAGGTGTCAGGTTCAGCATTTCTACTTGGCAAGGCGCTATCGTTTCCACCTGCTGCTGCGCCCTTGATCCCACCCTGGTCCTCCACCCGCCATTCCCTTGTGTGCTTCAGGTGCCGGAAGGCCATGCCCTGGTTGACCTTTCAGATGCCGGTGCACCCATCAGCAACCTCTACTCTGTAAGTGACACACTGCGCCAAACGCATGTTGATCCATGTGAGCATGTTGCTTCATGTGAGCATGTTGATCCATGTGAGCATGTTGCTTCATGTGAGCATGTTGCTTCATGTGAGCATGTTGCTTCATGTGAGCATGTTGATCCATGTGAGCATGTTGCTTCATGTGAGCATGTTGCTTCATGTGAGCATGTTGATCCATGTGAGCATGTTGATCCATGTGAGCATGTTGATCCATGTGAGCATGTTGATTCATGTGAGCATGTTGATCCATGTGAGCATGTTGATCCATGTGAGCATGTTGCTTCATGTGAGCATGTTGCTTCATGTGAGCATGTTGATCCATGTGAGCATGTTGCTTCATGTGAGCATGTTGCTTCATGTGAGCATGTTGATCCATGTGAGCATGTTGATCCATGTGAGCATGTTGATCCATGTGAGCATGTTGATTCATGTGAGCATGTTGATCCATGTGAGCATGTTGCTTCATGTGAGCATGTTGATCCATGTGAGCATGTTGATCCATGTGAGCATGTTGATCCATGTGAGCATGTTGATCCATGTGAGCATGTTGATCCATGTGAGCATGTTGATCCATGTGAGCATGTTGCTCATCTACCATGCACACGCACACGTCCTGTTTCACTCATTTTGAATTGTCTTTCCATTGTGGAGCAGGTGCTGTCAGCGATTGACATGATTCTTCGTTCGATCCTTTCCAAGCTGCTGCCTGCATGGGTTGTGTCACCTCCCATCCAAGTCCTGTGCTCCAACACCACACTCTCCTACTCAACCATACTCGCTCGCTTCCATGGCTGGGTAACAACCATAAGTAGTTCCAACACAAGTCTCAGACAGCAGTGGTATACAAGCCAGAGAAATAGCTTGCTCGACAGATCTTAATTTATTTATGCACAATTCACAACACAGCACTGTCTATTACCGTAAAGATGCAGGCATGAAAGACACATGGCACAGCCAGTCTGTCCCACACGATTGGGCTCAGTTCAAGCAACGGAAACGAGCAGTGGCTGTGAGGGATGGGATGCCTGCGGGCTTGAAGACGGTGAGCATGCTCATCCAGCGCATGTTAGAGATGTGCACCTTGGGGTCTGCTCCGCCCACCCCCGCTCACCTGCAGCCCTCTGGGCGCGCACCATGAGGAAATGCCGACTGCTTCGCAAAACGAGATATGCAGGCTATCCAACCAATTCAAGATGATTATGTTCATTGAACTCTAACAGAATAAATGTAAAGAAAGGGCTATGAAACCTTGATATGGTTAGAGGCTGTGCCTGATGTAGAGGGCGATAAGGCAACAATAGAGTACACAAGAATATGCAGTGACATCATCATGCAAATTTGAGTTACCAGCATTTTATTCTCCTGTTATCGCACCACTTGGCGAAGTACGCTATATCCCTCCTGGTGGCAGGCACATTTCTGGGAGCGCCTGGTGCCTTGCTAGCGATAGCTTACGGCTGGAGAGGTTTTTCCCTCGCCCGTCACAGCCTTCCGACGTAGTCTCGCCAGCGCATAACCGCAAATCAGTTGCCACCTGCACTCATCCGCGCATCTGCGCTGCTTGCTCTGGCCAGACCAGCGCACTCGGACCATCCGCCTCTTCCCCCATCTTCCCGCGAGCCGTGCGACTTTCTTCCGCAAACCACATCCGCGGCATGGCGTCCGATAAGAAAGGTACCACGGCGCGTTGCCCTCTTACGATATTGTGCGCGGCGTGGATCCGAGCTCGGCGTGCAGCGTAGCAAGGGAATGTGGCAGAATTCCGTCCCAAGCTTTCCGCCTTTAGCCTCCCAACCCGTTCATCATGTGTGCTCGCGAGCAATTTGTTCCTCGGATTACGTCCTCTGCTCTATCCCACCCGTCATACCCACTCCCGCCGTACATAATCCCGCTCATTTCCCCCCGTCGCCGTGCGCTGGCCCCCCATCCGCCAATCTCACTCAACTGTATTTCCGCTCCACTCTCCACGCGTCCCCCCTTGTCCTTCTTCTCCATCTCTTCATCCTCTCCTTTCGGCCGCTGATTGCACCCTTCCATTTTCATCCCTCCTGTCCCCACTGCGTTCACCTCGCCACACCACACCATTCTCGCGTCTCTCTCCCTTCTGCTACCTCTCGAATGCGCCCTCACTCGTCTCCGTTCCGTTCCCCTCCCAATCTTACTCGCACCTCCCAGGCAGCACTGGTTGGTTTGGGGACATGGTCTCGACAATAAGTGACTTTAGCAAGCAGACAACAGACATGGCTTCTAACCTCTACACTCATAGTATGCCCTCGCGTGACTTGATTTCTGAAGCTTCAGTTGAAGTTCGACACGTCACAACACAAGGGAATAACCGATTCCAAGCACGTATGCGATGACATGTGGCCATGGCATGCATTTATAATTTTGGTGCGAATTTAAGTTGCACTCTGTTACATGGTTCCTGATGTGCTCTCACTCACATACCTCTCATATTCCGAATGGTAACCTCCCTTCCTCCGCTGGCAGTGGGCAAGCTGGGCAACCCCACCCTCCTGACGCACGCAGGAGCGGAGGCGCTGTGGCGGGAGCACTTCTGGGCGCCACCGGATGAGAAGCTGCTGTTCTACTTCTACTGCAACCTGCTCACCAGCGTGGGACCCGTTCCTGGCACACTAGTCGTCACCACTGCGTCCATTGGCTTCCTCTCAGATGCCGAGTTTGAGTACAATCCACTGGGCCGCCCCACAGAGATTGCCAAGAGCCACTTTGTGGTAAGCCAGTTTGCTTGTTTGTATCACGGCCTTAGATTTAATGGAACACATTCCAACCCTCATCTCCACCCCCATCCTTCCCAACTCCTTGCCAACCCTTCTGTACAATTTTCTCTCTTAGGCCACCATTCCGCTGCACAAGATAACAGGAGTGGCGCCTGAAGCCAACCCATCTGATGACAATGAGAAGTACATTCGGCTCACTACAGAAGATGACTTCTCATTCTGGTTCACTGGCTTCATTGCATATGATCAAGCCTTTGCGACTGTCCTTTCTGCGGTAGTCAGTACTTCTCATCCTCTTGAAGCTTTGTCATAGAGCAGGGATGTGGCAGATTTCTTATACCCTAACTTCCAAGGGCTTCTCAGTACTACTAGGTGAACTAGCCATGTGAGAAAGTGGCATACCCCGTAGCATTGCAATGTTTCCATGTACCATATGACCCAATTGTAGTCCTGGTAACACCTGTATTTTGTTGTTTGCACTGTTCATAACTACGGTACTTTGCGGTAGTATGTGGAAAAAGAATATTATTAGTACCAGTAATAATAAAACCACATTACACCACCAATGGAAAATAATAATGTTAGATGCGTCTAACATGAAAACAGATCCTGACTTCCACAAGTTGTGCAAGACAGACAACTCCTCAGTTATGTAGGTGCCTGCACTCGCAGATTGCCACTGCCAAACTTTGCTGTCCACTCTTCATAAGCTTTCAACTCGCCGTTAGCCACAGAAGGGTTGACCCTTTGTAATGCATCTCGAAAGTCCTGGAAGAGCAACCATCACACATAAAATCGCTTCATCTAAGACCCGAGCAAAATGTAAATAAGACAAGACCTCACCTGAAGACCAACAGGTCTTATATCATCCTTTTCCATCTTGTCTATCCGACCAGAGAGAGCAGCCTCCCTCAACGGCATCATGGCTGCTTCTCGGACAAGATGCCGCATATCTGACCCTGAGTATCCTGCACAAGAAACTTCCAAATCGTAACCAGACCCTGAATAACAGGTTAAAAAAAGGCCTGTTGGTAAGCTGACAAACCTTCCGCTTCTTCAGCAATGGCGTCCATATCTGCCTCCGACAGTGCCAGAATGTCATCCTTTTGAAGAAGGTTCCGAACAATCTCTTTTCTGGCAGCTGTGCAGGAGAAGAAAGCAACATCAATAAGACAATGAAATATGAACCGTTGCCAATCAAACCACCAGGGCTAACCTTTGTTTGGAAGAGGTATGTAGAGCCGGTTGGGCATACGCCGCCTTGCTGCTTCATCAAGTTCTTGCGGACGATTCGTTGCTCCTGCATTGGAACCCGCAAGAAAACCAGCAAGAAAGTACATTCAAAGATTATATAAACCTGGAAGTGGGACCTAAGCTGCACACTCAAGAAGCAGGAACAAGCCATCACTACTATACCTATGGCAGCACGCCACTTCACAGTGACGCATTTACAAAAAGGATCAACGGGAACAAGGCTGTGGAGGAAAAGAGAAACAAGTTTAGGAAAGAAGGGGACGAAGGGGAGGGGGAGCGAAGTTGAATAATTGAGAGGAAAAACTGAAGGAGAATAGGGAGTCAAGAAGCAACGGGTTCCACTACTAACCAATAACTAGAACGTGTCGATCTCCTGTCCCACATCCCTCCATTTCAATGAGAAATTGCGTCTTCAACCGGCGGCTGGACTCATGCTCGCCTTCTGATTGACGCTGGCCACAAGGGAAGCCATAAAAAAAAAAAAACAACATAAAATGGGAGTCTTGACTATATATTCCACAGCTCCAGAAGAATTCTGGCAATAGGTCGGAAACATCCTTACCTGTGATAATAGAGAATCGATTTCATCAATGAAAATGACAGCAGGCTCCTTGCAGCTCGCCACACCAAAAAGAGCTCGCACAAGCTTCTCTCCCTCACCAATCTGTCACATGAGGAAGACACAATGCGCATAAGTATGTCATACACCAGCCTCTCTTTTATCAGGCGACTATGCAGGCAAGAAGCCCTTTTCTCAAGCAAATATGCGGACAGGAAGCCTTACTTACCCATTTACTTGTCAAGGAACTGGCAGATATTGAGAAAAATGTTGCATTTGTTTCACCAGCAATAGCCTTACCAATCAAGGTCTTGCCTGTTCCCTGCAAAGTTGAGAAATACGTGAAGTCAAGACGTGTCAGGTTCAATAAGTGTGTGTATTACTTCACTGCCCTGTGTTCAATGTCCGAGCTACTCACCGGCGGTCCATACAGCAAAAGCCCAGAAACTGGTGCTCTGGTGCCTCGAAATAAGTCAGGTCGCTTCAGTGGCCAGATTATAACTTCAGTCACGCACTGCTTTGCATGCTCCAAACCGGCTGTAGTCCACGAAAAAGTTACATTGTTAGCACACAACGTGGTCAATCAAATTAAACAGCATTGTCACTCACCAATATCACTCCATCGCGTCTTTGTATCTTGTGTCATGATTTCATTGCAAATCTGCTCTATCAGGCGAGGTTCGATGTTCTTAAGCACATCAGGCAATTGCCCGTCCTCGTCCTGTAGCTCCTCCAAACTGCACAACCCGAGCATCAGCATAAGATCACAGAAGCGTGATCACAACGACAAAAGCAAACACTGACCATTTTAAGGTTGACTCGTTCATCCCCGGGTCCTTGGGCGCTGCTTGACGTGGCAAAGTGCCTCCATTTGCTTGTTGTGATGTTCGAACAGGAGAAACAAAGCCGCTACGAACTCCTCTCTTCGAGCCTGAGGGATCGTGTACACCATGCTGCCTGGAAGGTTCCCTTGAAGGCCTGGCTGACGCATTGTCGATACCTTTTTTTAAGGAGTTCATGGCCTGTTTGAGAGGAAAACGGTGGAGTTACAAGAGCAGTACACGTTGCCACAGAAGCAGATTGATGAAGATACACATACCAGCTTCTCGCTTGCTGTAAGAAACGATGACTTGGACCTTGGTTCAACATCCTCAACATCATCATCAGCCAGCAAGCGGGTTTGCTTGTAACGTTTATTGGCCCGCTGTGGCTTCTTCCAAGATACATCTTCGTCCGAATCTTCTGAAACGTCGTCATCCAACAAAATAGGCCGTTGCTGATTACGTTCCTGCTGGTAGGATGGTCGCCTTGGAAGTGGAGGCAATGAGCTTTTTGGCTGAGCGCTAAAATTTGACGCATAGCTATTGCGAGTCTTTGCTGAAGGCGGTGCATTCATTCCAGAGGCAAGCTTATCTCGCGGCGTTGTTTCAGTCTGTCCAGAGGAGGCTACAAACGGCAGCTGCTGGACACCAGCAACTGGAACAGCACCTCCTGAAATGGCAATACGCGCATTGTTGGTTGGCTCCTGAAGTGAACATTACCGAAAAGATGTAAGAAGTTATAAGTAGCGAGCGAGCAAGAATTATATTGATGAGTAAAACGAAAACACAGACCTCGTCATCTTCCCACACAAGCTCATCGTACGGCGAAAGTCTTGCCAGCTTGTTCAGAGAAATGCCGCGCGATGGCTCGGTCAAACTGATTTCAAGATCAGCTTGGCCAGCTTGAAGCAGAATATCGCTGCACAGGTAACTCCCATGAGTTTGAATCAAACTCAGAAAGGAAAGGTTATGCTATCTCTATCAACGAAAAAACAGCCGACCTGTCGTCTGAAGATCGGCAAGAGGACAAATGGCGATGCACGTCCGATCGAATGCCACTGAAGTGAGATGCGCTTGACAAATCGCCATCGAGGGCACGCACAGAACCCAAGAGTTCAAGGCATCGGCTGCGGGGGCACTGCAATTCTGACGCGTCACCAGAAGGCCGCAGCTCGGAAAGAAGGGAACATAGTCTTGAGAGGCTTGAGCGCAAAGAAGCTTCACTTGCCATGGCCGCGAATGGCGATGTGGTGTACTTCTGCTGGTCTAAACAATGTCCACTGACGCTGCTGAGGCGGCTCCTAGGCTTCAAAGATACGCACCATCAAAGTGCAGGCAGGATGGATGTGGATTGAGGGACAGGTTGATATTTTTGAATTCAAATGGCTACACCATATTCTTGGAGTTGGCTATTTCCATATTATCCTGTAACACCTTGTGTTGCGAAACTCAATATGTTTTCGCTGATTCTGACGGCTGCCTTCGTCTTGTGGTGGTCGTCATCAGGCACCTCCTCTCTTTTGCTCTCCTCAAAAGTTCCTCACTTCCTCTTCCCCTTTCCTTTTCCCAGTTTGTCCTGAGGGGTTTCTCTAGGGCTCTTGATTGGCTGCAGGCAGCCTACTAGGAAGCCATGGTCCACGTCGCCTTCTATCGCAACTGTGAGTGATAGAACTCTGGCATGGTTAACTTTAGATTTTAGTCAACGGCTTAGATCTGGTGTTACGATAGTGCGAACTGCGGCGCGAACACATAGTTTAACAACATACCCTAATTCTTGACAGCTCTTGTTATTTTCAGAGATGATTTTAAATCGGGTAGCGGTTTTCGCAATAGTTTCCTGCTACTAATGGGCGTAGTCATATCTGTCTGCATGGCGTGGAACGGCATCTCCTACGAGTATAGTCTAACCCCACGTTTACCTTATAAGAAAACCAGGATTAGGTGAACGAGACTTGATGGTTGCGGTAATGCTGGACTGAACCCGACCGACTGTCATTGTTTGGTCGAGCAGTGCTTGACCCGATTGTCTTCGTTTGTTTCTGCAGATGGCAAGACCTTTAAGAGGCCTCGTCGTCCGTTCGAGAAGGAACGGCTCGACGCGGAGCTGAAGCTGCTCGGAGAGTATGGTCTGCGTTGCAAGCGTGAGCTGTGGCGCGTGCAGTACGTTCTCTCGCGTATTCGTAAGAACGCTCGCGAGCTGCTCACGCTCGACGAGAAGAGCACTCGTCGCATCTTCGAGGGCGAGGCTCTGCTGCGCCGCATGCACCGCTACGGTCTGCTGGAGGAGAGCCAGAACAAGCTCGATTACGTGCTCGCCCTGACTGTCGAGAACTTCCTGGAGCGTCGCCTTCAGACCCTCGTCTTCAAGACCGGCCTCGCCAAGTCCATCCATCACGCTCGTGTCCTCATCCGCCAGCGCCACATCCGGTACGCATTTGCCCCTGGCCCAGGTCTAGCGTGTTTCTTTGCGACTTCCTGTATCATAAGTCGGAAATTGTGCTAATCTGTGAGGATGTTTTCGCTAGATCCTTGCCCTCAAATTCCTTTAGGGCGGTTCCCGTTGTATCGCGTGAGTCTGCAAACTGACGGTTTGCTAAAAGCGCAATTTTGCAACTGGTGCGCGTTTTCGTGCTCCGAAGGCAAGCGCGCCTGTGTTTTCAGGAACGCAAAAATACGACTGCGTCTTCTTACTAATAGTACGGAATGTGGGGGGCGAGGGTAACTAATTAGCCGCATCAAACCCCTCCCCGTACTGTTTTTCATGATCCCCAGTCCCATTCCATTCCTGCCGCTATGCTCACGACGTGACTCACCTACCAACGTCAATCACCTCTTCACAACGTGACCCTCTTACCTCAGGTCTTGCTGTTCGCTGCTACTTATAGATTTTGTAGTAGCATTTGATTCTCATTGTTGTGTTGCGGTTTGGTGTGTCCTCATGGGTGTGATGTTTTCAGGGTGGGGAAGCAGATTGTGAACATTCCGTCCTTCCTCGTGCGACTTGAGAGCCAGAAGCACATCGATTTCGCTCTGACCAGCCCGTTCGGCGGTGGCAGGCCAGGCCGTGTGAAGCGCAGAAACCTCAAGGCTGCCTCCAAGAAGGGCGGAGATGATGGCGACGAGGATGAGGAAGATTAAATGCACACTTCATGTAGGACGAGGTGTCCTTGCAGCACAACAAGCTTTGTGAAGTATTATCTGATGTAACACTTTGTTTCATGGCTGAGAATCCCACCATGAAATGTATGCTTTAGTCAGAAGGATTGCACTTTGTATTTTGCTTTGGGTCCCTGAAGCAACCTAGCACTGTTGCTTTATACATAGCTGCGATTTGTTCTCATAAATGCATTACTAAATAGTAAAACCGTTTGAAGATGTGAAATGCAAAACATAATGGAACCGTTTGAAGAGGAATGTAGATTCCTTGAAACAGTTTTATAACGGTTCTGCTGAGCAATCGACAGATCGCGTTTTTCTTGATCAAATCCAGTTGCAGTGAATTGCTCGGCTTTGGCTCCCGCCACGTTCAATCAGACTCATGAAGTGACAACGCTTTCTAGACTAATGTGTCGCCATGGCGACGATGCGAATACCAGTACCCTAACTTCAAGGAGGAAAAAGGTGATCCCGTTCCGTTATTGGATTGCATTACTGCCCTCAACGCACCTTCTCCACGCTGATTTTTCCAAGTTGTTCAAATCCATATTCTCCTGTCTGCATGCTCACCTTCTCCCCGCAAGCCCCAGGCGTGCGTCTCGCGTGCTTCTTGTCCTCCCCACCGCCTCCTTTTCTCGTTCGCGCCATGTCTGCCCGCGTCCCCATGCGCCTTGCTCCTTCCTGCATGCTCTGCGCTTTTCCCTTCTCTTCCGCCCTACCTCCTCAGTCAACTCTTTCCCTCTCCCTCTCCCTTTCCTCTCCCGTTCCCTCCCCTCTTCCCCAACCTTCTCTATCAACCGCGATATCCTTCTCTTTTCGTCTCTCGCCAGCCGTTGCACTCAAAAGCTCCTCTCTTCTCCTCTCTTCTCCTCTCTTCTCCTCTCTTCTCCTCTCTTCTCCTCTCTTCTCCTCTCTTCTCCTCTCTTCTCCTCTCTTCTCCTCTCTTCTCCTCTCTTCTCCTCTCTTCTCCTCTCTTCTCCTCTCTTCTCCTCTCTTCTCCTCTCTTCTCTCTCTCCTCTCTTCTCTCTCTCTTCTCCTCTCTTCTCCTCTCTTCTCCTCTCTTCTCCTCTCTTCTCCTCTCTTCTCCTCTCTTCTCCTCTCTTCTCCTCTCTTCTCCTCTCTTCTCCTCTCTTCTCCTCTCTTCTCCTCTCTTCTCCTCTCTTCTCCTCTCTTCTCCTCTCTTCTCCTCTCTTCTCCTCTCTTCTCCTCTCTTCTCCTCTCTTCTCCTCTCTTCTCCTCTCTTCTCCTCTCTTCTCCTCTCTTCTCCTCTCTTCTCCTCTCTTCTCCTCTCTTCTCCTCTCTTCTCCTCTCTTCTCCTCTCTTCCCCTCTCTTCTCCTCTCTTCTCCTCTCTTCTCCTCTCTTCTCCTCTCTTCTCCTCTCTTCTCCTCCTCTCTTCTCCTCTCTTCTCCTCTCTTCTCCTCTCTTCTTTCTCTCTTCTCCGCTCTTCTCCTCTCTTCTCCTCTCTTCTTTCTCTCTTTCCATTGGAGTGCGCAGAGGAGTGCAGGAAGTTCCTCAGCAACTACCGCGATGAGGAAGGCATCTTCAAGTACATGCGATTGCTGGTGGGTCGCTCAGATCAAACACGTGCCTACAGCTCCATTCATTCTGTTTCAGGAAGAGGCATTTTTCTTTCTGCACCTCCTCTCACCATGCCACCACGTTCCTCTGCTGCAGCGTTCTCATCTTTTCAATCTCCATTGCTTCTTGTGCCCTCTCTCCTCGCCACTCACCTCTCTGCTCCTCCCTTCGCCATACGTGCCTCACACCCTTTGCCTCTCCACTCACCACCCCTCATGCCTCGCCTACCCTTATCAGCAAGACGTGGCGAATCGCAAGCTCCACGTCATCAACATCCACTTGGCAGACCTTGTTGCGGTCAGCAGCACCCCTCCTCTCTTCCCACCCGCTCCCATCATCGCTCCGTTCCCTTTCTTTCTCCCCTTTCCTTCAATGCTCTGTCGTTTCACTCTGCCGCTCTTGCATCTTCGCCCTGTCCATTCCTCGGGCCTCAGTCTCCCCCATACTCCCCATACCCTCCGTATCCACTCTGCCTTCTCCCTTGCCCCCTCTTCCCCCACCACACCCCTCGCAGTACGGCGGGGGCAGCAACGACGAGTTTGTGGCGCGCATCTACGGCAATGCGCGGCGCTACATCACGCTGTTCGCCGAGGCTGCAGACGACCTCATGCCGGAGCCATCGCTGGCAGCGAGTGGGGAGGAGAGGGAGGAGGACGTGTACGACGTGCTCATGCGGCAGAGGGCGGAGCAGCACACGGAGAACCTCGCTCAGGGCGACGCTGCTGTGGCCGCTGTCGACCCGCTCTTCCAGCTGCCCGCCCTGCTGCGCCGCCGCTTGTGAGTGCTCTGGTTGGTCGCTGGGCTGTGCTCGAATTATCTTGATACATGGTTCGCAGACTGTTAAAAAGTGAACCGAACTCTGCCCTACACTCATCTCTACCCTCACCCCTTCATCTCGGTGTTCTTTCCACACTTCCCTCTCCCCTCCCATGTCTTCCCCTCCCACAGCGACGTGCACTTGGTGCCGGAGCCGAAGCGCAAGGCGCAGGCGATACGGGAGGTGGGGGCAGGGCAGATAGGGCGCCTGGTGGTGGTGAAGGGCATCGTCACACGCTGCACAGATGTGAAACCGCTGCTGCAGGTCGCCACGTACACATGTGATGAGTGTGGCTTCGAGATCTACCAGGTGCGATGGCACTGCTATGCAAGGCCCACGCATCCGCTACCTCTCGTGCTTGTCTTGCTCTTGATCCACCCTGTTCTTACCAACCAATTCCCCACTCCTCACTTGGTGACAATGCACACGCTCTTGCATCTATTCGAGTTTCTGTGTAGCTGCGGTTAGGCTGCTTGTAACACCCCATAACGCGGCACCGTGCTTTCCACGCTGGTTGATTTCGGCCTGGCAGGAGGTGACAGCCCGCACGTTCATGCCGCTGTTTGAGTGCCCCTCGGCACGCTGCCGCACCAACAATGCACGGGGCAGGCTGCACCTGCACACTCGCGGCTCCAAGTTCCAAAAGTTCCAAGAGGTGTATGCAGGGGCTGTGCTCTGTACATATGACTTGACAGGATCGGGTGATGTGCATGGGTTGGTAGCATGGGCTGCTGGGAGCATGGGCTGTGATCACATGCTGCATCTGTAAATGGTGGAGTGCATGCTTCATGCTACCCTCGTGTCCCTTCTCTTGCTTAGTCAGGGCCCCCAGGTTGTTTCCGCATGTTCAGGATTCAGCCCTCCTTCATGCCTGCGTGCCATGCCATGGATGGCATGGAATGCCATGGCATGGTACATGTGTCCCCCACGTTGCATGCATGCAGGCGCGCATACAGGAGCTGGCAGAGCAGGTGCCCAAGGGGCATGTGCCGCGCGCAATGACAGTGCAGATCCGGGGCGACCTCACTCGCCAGGTGCGCCCTCTTTGTACATCCCGTGTGCCGTGCTGCCTTGCCCGCACCAAGCCTGATGCCTTCACAACCGGCACTGCTTGACCCACTAAAACCTTTTTAAAACGGCTTCTTTCTTTCCTTGATTCCTCTCGCCGGGTGCGCGTCACCGCAGGTATCACCGGGGGACGTGGTTAGTGTGGCGGGGGTGTTCCTACCGGTGCCGTTCGTGGGCTTTAAGGCCATGCGGGCAGGCCTCACGGCCGACACATACCTGGAGGCCATGTCGTTCCACCACTTCAAAAAACGCTTTTCCGAGTGAGTCTCTCTCGCTGGGCGCCCGGGGTAGGAGTGCATGGTTGTGGCACATGGAGGGAGGGGTGAAGGCCATGGAGATAGGTTTCACTATCTGCCATCAGCGCTCACCATCTGACCAACTTCTCCTTCTCACTGCTCAGCCCTTTGCCCCACCACGCCCTCACCATGCCCCGGGACGTCCCTATTGTGCCCTCTCACGTCCCTGCCTGCCACAATTGTAACACACGTGTAAGTGCGCGCCCCCCCACCCGCCAAGCAGGTACGCGAGTGAGCAGACGCCAGAGGAGGCAGCGGCGGTGCAGCAGCTGGCAGCGCAGGGCAGCAGCGACGTGTTCAGCCGCCTGGCGCGGTCCATCGCTCCCGAGATCTATGGGCACGATGACGTGAAGAAGGTGCTGCTGCTGCTGCTCGTGGGCGCGCCCACCCGCACCCTGCCCGATGGCATGAAGGTGAGAGTGTGGTGCCCGATGGCATGAAGGTGAGAGTGTGGTGCCCGATGGCATGAAGGTGAGAGTGTGGTGCCCGATGGCATGAAGGTGAGAGTGTGGTGCCCGATGGCATGAAGGTGAGAGTGTGGTGCCCGATGGCATGAAGGTGAGAGTGTGGTGCCCGATGGCATGAAGGTGAGAGTGTGGTGCCCGATGGCATGAAGGTGAGAGTGTGGTGCCCGATGGCATGAAGGTGAGAGTGTGGTGCCCGATGGCATGAAGGTGAGAGTGTGGTGCCCGATGGCATGAAGGTGAGAGTGTGGTGCCCGATGGCATGAAGGTGAGAGTGTGCTGCCCGATGGCATGAAGGTGAGAGTGTGGTGCCCGATGGCATGAAGGTGAGAGTGTGGTGCCCGATGGCATGAAGGTGAGAGTGTGGTGCCCGATGGCATGAAGGTGAGAGTGTGGTGCCCGATGGCATGAAGGTGAGAGTGTGGTGCCCGATGGCATGAAGGTGAGAGTGTGGTGCCCGATGGCATGAAGGTGAGAGTGTGGTGCCCGATGGCATGAAGGTGAGAGTGTGGTGCCCGATGGCATGAAGGTGAGAGTGTGGTGCCCGATGGCATGAAGGTGAGAGTGTGGTGCCCGATGGCATGAAGGTGAGAGTGTGGTGCCCGATGGCATGAAGGTGAGAGTGTGGTGCCCGATGGCATGAAGGTGAGAGTGTGGTGCCCGATGGCATGAAGGTGAGAGTGTGGTGCCCGATGGCATGAAGGTGAGAGTGTGGTGCCCGATGGCATGAAGGTGAGAGTGTGCTGCCCGATGGCATGAAGGTGAGAGTGTGGTGCCCGATGGCATGAAGGTGAGAGTGTGCTGCCCGATGGCATGAAGGTGAGAGTGTGCTGCCCGATGGCATGAAGGTGAGAGTGTGGTGCCGCTGCCCATAGTCAGCCTCCTCACTGTGTTGTCAACAACTTATATTCTCACTTGATGGCATGAAGGGGCACGTGCAACAACATGGCGTGAAGGTGCACGTGTAGCGGTGCATCGAGACTGTGTTGTCATTGAAGCAATACTCGTGCTTGATGCTCTTCCAGTCCCTCCCATATCCCACCTGTCCGCCTGTCACGTACCCTCTCTTACCCATGATTGACCACATCCATGCAACACACGCCCGTTCCACCTCCCCGTTCTCCCCGGGTGCGCATCAGGGGCCGTGAACGAGTGTGTGATGGCCGAGTCTGGACCAGCAACGCCTCGTGCACTCCGTTCCCCATCACGCTCTGCATTGCACCAACACTACCCACATCCCCTCCTTCCATTCTCCCCCCGCCCCTCATGTGCGCTACATGTGCTGTGACATGCACGTGTGTGTCATGGGGCTTGAGCCTCAGGCTGTAGCACATCCCTCAACAATGCACGAGGTGTCCTCTTTCCGCCCACGACCCCCCTTCCCTGCCATGGGTCAGATCCGCGGGGACATGCACGTGTGTCTGATGGGCGACCCCGGGGTGGCCAAGAGCCAGCTGCTGAAGCACATCATCACCGTGGCGCCGCGCGGCGTGTACACCACGGGCAAGGGCAGCAGCGGCGTGGGGCTCACTGCTGCTGTCACGCGCGACACCGTCACTGGCGAGATGGTGCTGGAGGGCGGCGCTCTGGTGAGTGCAGTGCAGTGCACCTGTGCATGTGGGAGCGACTGGGCGTGTGTGCATGCTGGCAGACTGGTTGCTGTTGCACCATGGGAAGGGCCGCCGCTGACGCCTCACTGCTGCTGTCAGCAGGGACTCCGTGTGTCCCTGAAGAGATGGTGGTGGGGGGGGGGGAAGGCGGTGCGTGAACCTGTGTCCATGGCTGTGTTGAGTTGAGGGTGTCCATGCTTCTGCTTTGAGTGGGTCGCCAAGATTGTGCGATTGTGTTCTGATGATTTCATAGTTGAAAGGTGTTGGTGGGCAGGCTGCAATGGCCTCTCTCCTTGTGCGTATCCTCACTCTCTCACCGCGCCTCCTGCGCCCCACACCACCAGGTGCTAGCGGACATGGGCATCTGTGCCATCGACGAGTTCGACAAGATGGATGAGAACGACCGCACCGCCATCCATGAGGTTCGCCTGCCCCCTGCCTTACTCCCTGTTCTCTCAATGCATGTTGCCACGTGCCATGAGTCATGTGCCATGTGTCAGTGATTGAGCGGCATATGTGTTTTGCGCAGGCATTATTATGCATTGGCGTATGTTCCCCGTGATTTTGCTGGACCACCCCAATACCCATACTCCACATGCGTCATGCCACATGCCATACGCCATGCATGGCAGGTGATGGAGCAGCAGACGGTGAGCATCGCCAAGGCGGGCATCACCACGTCCCTCAATGCTCGCACCGCTGTGCTCGCTGCTGCCAACCCCGCCTGGTGAGATCACCCACCCTCCTGCCATCGCTGCTGCTCACAGCACGCAGCTGCACCTACCGCATCCCTACCCTATCCTTTCTTCTCGTCCCCCTCCCAACCCCCTCTTTTCTCCTCAATTCCCCATCCCTCCCTCCCCCTGCCCCGCCCCCCTCTCCCTCCCTTTCAACCACCCCTCTCTCCCCCAGGGGGCGCTACGACATGAGGAGGACGCCAGCGGAGAACATCAACCTGCCGCCCGCACTGCTCTCCAGATTCGATATCCTCTGGCTCATGCTCGACCGTGCTGACGTGGACGCTGATCTGGCGCTCGCCCGCCACGTGCTGCACGTGCACCAGCACTCCGTGCCGCCCGCTCTTGACTTTGACCCCGTTGACCCAACTCTGCTCAGGTGCTTATGAGTGCTGCTCACTCTGTTGGTAGAAAACGCCTTTCAGGTTACTCAAAGTGCCCCTCATGCTATGAATGACTGTCAAAGTTATCATCCCAGCACCACCACCACAGACAGACCCAGCTCCCCACACAGGGCTTTGTGGCAACAGCATCCATGCCCCTCTGCTCTGTCCATGTGTCCCCCTACTCTCCCCCACCAGAAACTTCATAGCCACGGCGCGGACGTACTCACCGAGTGTGCCGGAGGAGCTCACGGACTTCATAGCGTCGGCCTATGCGGGGCTAAGGCAGGAGGAGGCGGCCAGCGATGCCCCGCACACCTACACCACCGCGCGCACCCTGCTCTCCATCCTGCGCCTCGCTGAGGTGATAGCGCTATAGCATGGCTTGATAGGTTGCGTGCCATGGGGTGGCATGGGATGAAGTGGTATGGCATGTGACACAAGCTACATTTTCTTTCAATTGTCGCCCTCATGCCCCACCTCTTCCTCCTTTCTGTTGTCCCCTTTCCCCCTCTCCCCCCCTCTTTCTGTCAATTCCCCGCACCCCCAAACGCAGGCTCGGGCGAGGCTGCGGCTGGCGGGGGCGGTGGCGCAGAGCGATGTGGAGGAGGCGCTGAGGCTGATGCACGGGTCCAAGGCGTCGCTGCAGACGGAGGCCCGGCAGCGCGCAGGGCTGGACGCCATCTCCGCCGTCTACTCCATCGTGCGCGACGAGGCTGCTCGCGCGCGCTGCACCGTGGTGTCGTACTCCGACGCCCTCAACTGGATCACCCGCAAAGTGCCCTGCTCCCCTCCTTGCCCCACTCTACCTTGCCCTGCCCTGCTTGTGCCCTGCTCCTGTATTGCATTTGGACTGTCTTCTTGACTGTCACGACGACCCTGTGTTTTCAGGGGGGGACTCAATTACGGTAGGTAGTATTATAACTCTCAGTTCTGTGCCCCTGGTTGCTGTTGCTGTTGCATTCCTCCCCTGCCTGCTCATCTCCATCCGCCTATCTCTGTGTGCATACAGGGTCACAGCGAGGCGGAGTTGAGGGAGTGTTTGGAGGACTATGCCGAGCTCAATGTGTGGCAGATTGATCAGGACTCCCTCACCATCCGCTTCATTGGCTCATGATTTGTGTAAAGTAACCCAAGTACACTAGTAGAAGTCTCGTCAATAAAGGCTTTGCTTAATGTATTAGCCGACCCCTAGTGCCAATTCAGATGAGCAAGGCACACTACTCAACCAAGCTCCACCATTGCAAGGGCATGGGCAGCACTAGCTGTTAGAAGCCCTCTGTCACCACCTTTCCAAATGGCTCTCACCGCCTGTACGCATCGCGCTCATCCCGCCCTCTCTCCCGCTCGTACCCGCGCCTCGAGTCGTCCCGCTCCTTGCGATCCCACTCCGAGTACCGCTCCCGCTCCCGCTCCCTCTCGTACTCCCTCTCACGCTCCCTCTCCCTCTCACGATCGCGGTCAAACCCCCTGTCGCGGCCGCGTTCATACCGCTCACTGCCGTACGTGCTCACCAGCCTGTCCCCGCCGCCCCCGCGCCCACCACCACCATCAAACCCCCTTGGACCGCTCTCAAAGCCTCTCGCACCGCCGTCAAAGCCCCTGGGGGGGGCGGGGGGGAGGCGGTCGACAGTGCTGGGCAGGCGGTCGGGGGCGGAGAGCAGGCGGTCCCCCGAGGCGGAGGCGATGCTCTGCTGCACCTTCTGCGCTATCAGATGCTGCGCTGCCACCACACCCTCTGATGGGCCCGTTATCGTCACCTTCCTGCCAGTCCAAGGGGGCAGGAGGGGGGGGGGGGGGAGAGGAAGGATAAGCTGAGACTCATGCTACAGCGGGCATGCACGAGGGGCAGAGATCCTGCGACACGACAGGTTGGCAATGGGATGCAAGGGAAAAAGAAAGAGGAGCAACTGCTGTGCTGACGGGCTGATGCTGCCGTAGTTATGGTGGGCACTGACCTGTTCCTGGTGCCTTCAACATAATCGTTGCGGTCCGATATGAGCATGCGCACCCCCGCCGACTGCACACATGCAAGCACAGGCACACATGTGGTGATGCACAGAGAGAGCACAGATGTATGTCGCACCTACCAGCACGCATGAAAAAGTCTCTAAGCGTTTGGAAGGTTACGATCATTAGTGATCACGTGACTGGTGAAGCTGATGGTGTGATTCGTAATGCTGATGATAAGCTTGACGCTGCTGTATCAGCATCATGAATCACACCAGAAGCTCCACCAGCCACGTCACCACTAACGACAGTAACCTTTCAAACATTTTGAGGCTTCGCAACTTCACATTCGGCCCAGCTCAAGCGGATGCTACCTGCTCAGCTGCTGAAACACCTGATGCGACTGGAAAGCATGCTGGCACTGACGATGCCCTTTTCCTGTTGTTGCTTTCGTCGACGATGCTGCTGAAGCTACTGCCGCAGATTCTGTTGTTGTTACCTACCATGAAAGTTCTGGAAGGGGCATTACAAGTTAAAAATTTGAGTTTTGTGCACCTCTATATACCTCGATACTCTTTCACACTATGTGCCCTCCCACTTGCTGCATGCATCTCATGCAACCAAACCCTGCCTGCTGTACTGTACCCCACCCACGCACACACCTGCTGGATCTCATGCAGCGACTTGCCGCCCTTGCCCACCACGGCACCCACGTGGTCATCCGGCACCGCCACTATGATGGTCGTTGGCACTCCACCACCCGGCGGCAGAGGAGGCGGGCCCTGCACGCAGGGGAGGCGGAACAGGTGGTGGGTGGAGGTGGACATGGGTGTGGGATGGGGGGCAGAGGCAATGGGCAACCTGGGTTCAGTTACAATGCAACCTCCCTGGCAGCACGGCGTGGTTCTGCTGCGTGTGGACGCGGGGAATGGAAGAGCTGAGAGCAGGGGCGGTGATGGACCCCACCCCGCCCCACCCCACACATACGCATGCAGTCACGCGTGGGCATTGCTCATCAACACAAGCACGCCCACCTTGCCACGTGGGTCCGAGAGGTAAGGAGGAAGGCCCCTCGGCGCAGCATACGGCGCTCCAAATCCCCCGCCCCCACCCCCGCCCCCCCCATATCTGTCCCCTCCCCCATAGCCCCCGCCCCCACCCCTGCCCCCGCCTCCGCCCCCCCCATACCCAGGACCACCACCGCCATAGCCGCCACTGAACCCGCCGCCCCCCCTCGCCCCATATCCGTCGTTGTACCCCCCTCCGCCCCCGTACCCGCCCTCCCTACCCCGTCCTCCTTCCGAAAACCCGCTGCTCCTGCCCTCGTGCCTGCCCCCTCCCGCTGGCGCGGAGGGAGGGGGAGGTGGCTGCGATGACCCGCCCGCCGCTGGTGGGGGTGCGCGGGGAGAGAGGCAAGGGATGGATATGGGAGGAACACAAAGGAACATGTGAGAGAGTGAGGAAAGGACAGAGGCACGTGGAGGAAAGAGGCATCCACGTAGGACAGAGGCACGTGGCTCACCGGTGTAGGAGAGCGGCACGTCAGCATACTGCACGTAGGTGGGGTCTTCAGACATCTTGGTCAGCAGCAGCGCCACCACGCGCAGCTTCTGCTCCAGCGTGCCGCCGATGGTGATGAGCCTTTCTGCAAACCCCGGCCCCGCAGTGTCCTGCGATGACAGCTTGATGGTCGCCTGCGAGTCCTCCACGAACGACCTGCGCCCACCCCCGCCCCCGGCGATGGCCCCAGCGATGGTTGGCGACGGCGTGGCGCCATGGCGCACAGGAGGTGACGCGGACAGCAATGCGAGGGTGGCGTGGTGACGTCAGGCCCACGTGGCAGAGCGTGGTGGCATGACATGCGTGGTGAGAGGGCACGGGCAGGAGGAGGGTGGAGTGGGGTGCGGAGGGGTAGAGCGGGGGTTGGGATGGGTGGGACGGAGAGCAGAGCAGATGGGAGACGGTGGGGTTGAGGAAGTGGATAGCGGATGGCACGGTGCCGGCTGAGGGCCACGCGGGAGAGAGGGCGGGGGATTAGGGGAGGGTGACAGTGCGGAGCCGCGGCACCACTGGCATTCTCTGTTCATGATGGGGCGGGTTGCTGCGGAGAGAGGAGGCAATCGCTTGAAGATGCCGTGGGAAGGGATGAGGGGGGGAAGCGATGATGCGAGGGAGAGGTTGATGGGATGACACGCGAACAACAGAAGAGCGGGCGACGGAAGGAGATGGGGGGTTGGCAGGCGAGGTGATGCATGGACGTCGTCAGTGACCCGTGAGGAGCAGCGAGAGAAAGGCAGAAGCGGGGGGGCAAGCAAACGGAGGAGGGGCTATCACGCAGAAGCAACGCTTTGAGTTTCGCTGCGTGGTGTCACAGCGTTGCGCCAACACGTGGTGTAACCCTAATTCGACAGCTGTTGTTGCAGATGCTTGTTTTCTAGTACGGCATTGCATGGCAGCAATGGCCGCAGGGAGGGCTACGAGCAGCTGACATCCGGAATCGGAAAACGGCAGATGAGACAGTGTCAAGAGAGACTAATCGAGGGAGATAGCGGCTGCAGGGATGAGGGGGCACGCGTAGAGGTTGAAAGACTGAGGGCGCTCCTCAGGGGGACGACCCGGAACTGGTGCTGAGCGAGGCGAGAAAATCACCGCGAAGTGGAACAGTGGTCGGGTTGGATTAAGAGTGGTGATGATGGAGTTGAGAGTGGTGGGATTGGAGATAAGAGTGGTGGTGGTGATGGAGTTAAGCGTGGAATGGAGTGGTGAGGGAAGGTCTAAGGTGGTATTGAGGAGCGACAGTTTTATCCCTGTGAAGACACCCACACCCCACAACGACACAAGCAGCGTTAATACTTGAACCAGTGAGCGAGAAGGGTCACGACGAAGGACAGACGGAAGGTATGGAACGAACTTAACTACCACATCAGTCTCGGAGAGAGCCATGAGCCGTGTGGTTTAGGCAAGGAATGAGGGCGGAGAGAAGTGGTGGATGAACTAAGATGTCGCTCCGACTAAAAGTGGCGACTGACCGGATGGTGGCGCCGGCTTTGCCGATGATGGCGCCGCACACGCGGTGCGGCACCACGATGCGCAGCAGGTCCAGCTCGCCCTCGCGCGCCGTCTCCACCCGCCGCGGATCCTGCGCGCACCGCACCGCACCGCATGGCACGCAGACCGTGTGCGGATTGAGCACAGCAGGTTTACCAGTCAACGCGGCGGAAAGGCATGAGCTATCACGGACGAACCGCGGTCAAACCAGTGCGTAGAAAACACGATCCCAACGATCTCGTAAATGCTGCTAACTCTGCGAAGACATGGCTCTGCCTTACAAAAGCCCGGACACTAGGGAAAGATAGCTTGAAAATAAAGGGAAGGAAATAGGATATAAAGAAGGCGTACGTCGGCGAGCTTGGAGAGGATGAGGTGCAGCGCCGTGAGGATGGCGCTGACGGTGCCGCTGATGAGCACGATGCGGTCCGCCGTGGCGGGGAAGAACTCGTGCGCGCGCGACATGACGATCTTGGCGCCCGACTGCACCTGGAACTCCGATATCACCTGCCCCGCCTTGCCGATCACCGACCCCGCGAAATTGTTCGACACCAGGAACCGCAGCGTCGACTCCAACGCCCGCACCTCCTCTGCTCAACCACGACGATATCGAACAAAAACGATTTAAATCACCCAAATCGCTGAGAAAAAAATGATAACAGTCGATTATAAGAATCAGGTTCAGGTAAGCTTGGCATGTAGGGCAGATGTGGAACCCTCACCGGTATTGCGGGTGTTTTGACGTTTCGCGTCATCCCGTCGATCATCCACGTCATCATCATGTTCTCGCTTCACCTTGCTCCTAGACCGATTAGGACTTTTAGGGCTTGGCGTCCTCCTTGGGCTTCTAGGGCTTCTAGGGCTTCTGGGGCTTCTGGGGCTTCTAGGGCTTCTAGGGCTTCTAGGACTTCTAACAGGTGATGCGTCCGCCATGGCCGTTATCTCAAGATTTGCCCAGCTCGCTAGCAATCAAAACCATATGTAGGAGGGGAAGGAAAGGACGCACACAACACAGGAATCCGCAGCAGGCTGGTTCTCAGCAAACAATCAGACGAATACCCGCAATTGAATGCCAGGAATCCAGTTATCACTTGTGCAGCAGCATGTACAACCTTTATATGTAATTTCCTCCTTTTCTCAGTACATTTAATTTCATAAGGTGCGGAAAAAGCGGACGCTGATACGGCAGGTTTCTCACCAGGGGAGGGCGTATCTGGGGACGAAAGAGGTGCTGCAAGCGGCGGCAGACCATTTCAGGGCTGCCTTCAAAGAAGTACCGCCGGAGGAGGCTGTGGACTGGGAGACCTTCTCGGAAGGCGCGAAACTTTCAGTTGCGGACGCGGCGTCGCTTGGCGCAGAGTGGACGGAAGCAGAGGTCAAGGAGGGGCTGGAGGGGCTGCCAAAGGGGAAATCCCCAGGCCAAGACGGCCTGCCGGCGGAGTTCTTCATTCTGCACTGGGACCTGCTCAAGGAACACGTGATGGGTTTCGTCAGAGAATTTGTGGAAACGGCGAGGATGCCGGAGGGCATCTCAACCGCTGTGACAGTTCTACTGCACAAGAAGGGGGATGCAGACCAGCTGGGAAATTACCGGCCAATCACCCTACTTACAGTCATGTATAAACTGGTTACAAAAATCATGGCGACAAGGCTGAAAAGGGTGCTGGGAAAGGTGTTGTCGAAGGAGCAGCACGGTTTCTTGCCGGGGAAGAGCCTGGCGGACGCGGTGTCGGTGGTCGCGGATGCAGTTGAAGCGGCCAACGGGGGGAGCGAAGACTGGCTGTTGCTGCTGGTGGACTTTCAGAAGGCATACGATACGGACTCGAGGGATTTCCTCTTCAGGGTTATGACGGAGCTGGGCATACCGGAGAGCTTTGTCAGGTGGACCAAGGGCCTGCACGAAGAAGCAGGGACGCGAGTCATCATCAATGGGTGGCTGAGCGAAAAAGTGGAGATGAACAGGGGGGTCAGGCTGGGCTGCCCACTTGCACCATACCTTTTCCTCTGCGCGCTGGAGCCACTGTGCAGAGAGGCGCAGCGCAGGGGATTGGGTGTCGGGCCGGAAGGGAAGGAGCCGCTCTCGTATGTGGGATATGCAGATGACACCTCTTTCCTGCTGCGCGGAGAAAGGCAACTGCGGGAGGTGGTAGAGGTGCTGGACACGTTTGGCAAACAATCAGGGTTGAAGGTCAACTGTGACAAGTCAGTGGTGGTTCCCTTGGGCTGCAACAGAGGGACTGCAACACCGCAAGGCATGCCGTACAAGTGGTCAGAGAGAGAGGAGCCCGAAAGGCTCCTGGGAGTATGGATAACCCCCAACGGCGACACTGGCCCGTCCTGGGATAAAGCATACGAGAGGATAAAGGAGGAGTTAAGGAAGTGGGAAGCACAGTATCTCACGACGACAGCGAGGGTGGCGGTGACCAGCTGCTATGTGTTGCCTGTGCTTATGTTTCAAGCCCAGGTGTACTCACCACCGGATGAGGTGTGGGAGAAGATCAGGAAGCTCTGCCACGCATTTGTCTCGGCCGGAGAAGTTGCGGAGGAAAAAAACTTCATCCTCTGGAGCGCCTACCTTGCGTGTCTCCCGCGGAAGGATGGGGGGCTGGGCCAGCTTGACCCGAAGCTCTGCCTGGACTGGCTGGCTGTTCGCAGAGTGGGTAAGCTCCTGAGCGAGCCGGACGGCACACGGCGGTGGCTGGCGGAGAAGGCGGCTGGCTTTCCACAGGGGTGGGCCACACTGTACGCGCACCCGTCGGCAATCAAGCAGTAGCAGCATGGGAGTGAAAGGTGGAAGGCAGCGGTGAAAGTCTTCTGGAAGTCGCCTTTTGCGTCGCTGCCGTCACCTGCGAGCAGATGGGAAGTGGAGGAGGAGTTCATCTGTTTCAACAGAAGTATAATCCATCGGGGGGCGAGCCCGTTCAGACATCAGAAGGGTTCGGCGGCGCTCATCCAGACGAGGATTCGGGACCTGCTCACAGACGGCCCAGGGGGAAGAAGGGAAGTGAAGGATGAAGAGGAGCTGGCGGTGGAGCTAGGGATAAAGGAGGCGGCAGTTATGGCACGGAAAGCCTACGAGGCAATCCCGCAGGAATGGAAAAAATTGGTCGAGGAGCCAACGACGGCAGAGGCGATTGTAGCGGCGTCAGGCGTAGCGAGATACGTCCTCCGGGGCCAGCCTATGGGGCCTCCGTGGGCGGTGAAGGGAATTGATGGCGCAAGGATTGTCGCAGAGTATATGGGGACGGACGCGGAAGGGAAGCTGTACGTCCCAGGAGGACGGAGGGAGACATGTTTTGAAGCTTGTAGCCTGCAACCTTTGGCGGTCCAGGAAGGCAGGGTGATTGGTCCAGTGGGAGACCCGAAGGCGAGAATACTAGGGAAGCCTGGACTCTTTGCTGACGGGAAGCTGGTGCCGCTACGCAAGGTGCGGGCTGCGCTCTCTAAATCGACGGGTCGCTCTTGGAGGCAGGCGGAGTGGGAAGAGGTGTGGGGCAAGAGGATAGATTGGAAAAGAGCTATCGAGACACGGGACTCGGTGTGTGTCCCACGAGGGATGTGCTTCTCAGGGTGCACAGCATGAACCTCCTGGGGGGGAGATTGGATTTCTTCCCGAACAGGATTGCCTGCCCGCACTGTGGGGGTGAGGAAACCCTAGCGCACTGCCTCTACAGCTGCCCAGTAATACAGCCGGTGTTCGGCGCTTAAGAGGTCTCTGCAGATGATGAATCCGGGCAGGCCCATAAATTCGCTGGGCGACCTGCTTTATGAGCATGGGGGCACAAAGTCGGGCTTCCCCGAAATGACTCTGACAGCGGCGGTACTCAGGCGGGTCTGGTTGGCGCGCTGTGATGCGGTGTGGCGTGCGGCCCCTTTTGAGCGGAAGAAGGTGGGACGCTGTGCAGTGTTGGATTTCATGACGCATGCGAGGGTGGTGGTGGCATCACGAAGAAGGGTGGCAGCTGCAGGGGAGGCGGGCATTGGCGCAGGGAAGGATAGGTGGTGCCAGGTGGCAGGTGACGAGAGGAAGCTGTTACGAGGAATCTGTCAAATGTTGTAGCCTATAGTGAGGTTTGTCTTAGGGGGTACAAAACTTAGGGTTAGCTATATGTACCCCAACCAACATCAATGCATCATCCATTCTTCATTCTGACATGGTATCAGTTAGGTTAGGATCCTGAAGGATCCCGTTCCGCCGTTCTCCGTTCGTACCACCCGAGCCTGATCCTAGCTCTCGTTCGTCTCCTTCTCGTTGTTACCGAGCCTAGCGCCGAGCCACGCTCTCGTTCATATCGTTCCAGCTGTTATCGAGCCTAGCATCGAGCCACGCTCTCATTCGTAGCGTAGCCCGCCCCCCCCGTCGCGTCGCCTTCCCCCCCCCTCGAGTCGCGCCCGTCCCTTTCCCCCTGTCGCGTCGCGCTCCCCCCGTCGCGTCGCCTTCCCCCTGTCCCGTCGCGCCCCCCCTTTCCCCCCGTCGCGTCGCCCTCCCCCTGTCCCGTCGCGCCCGCCCCTTTCCCCCCGTCGCGTCGCCCTACCCCTGTCCCGTCGCTCCCGCCCTCTCCCCCCGTCGCGTCGCCCGTCCCCGCAGCGCCCGCCACTGTCGCTCGCGACCGCGCTCGTCGCCGCCGCGCCTGCCGCCGTCGCCCGCCCCCTGCGCGCCTCGCCGCGGCCCCGCCGTCGTCGCCCGCCGCTGCGCGCGTCGCCGCTGCGCCCCCTGCCGTCGCCCGCTGCGCGCGCTGCTGGCCCCTGCTGCCGAGCGCGCTGCCATCGCCCGCCGCTGCGCCCGTTCCCGTTCCCCGCTGCTTAGTCCCCTGTTACCTCCCGCTGTCACGCCCGCTGTGGCGTCCGCTCCTCCCCTGTCCCAGAGTACCGCCGAACCCTAATTTGCCTCTCACCTACTGCTGTCCCCTCCCTCTCCGTTCGCGTTCGTTTTCACTATGGCGACTCAGCGTGTCCTTCGTTTCGACGCTGACGGTAGACCTCTTGATTTTTCCGTCTGGCTTCTTCGTGCTCGCCGTCTGTTAGAGAGTCAGGTCCAGGCAGGCGAGACCCTCTGGGCGCACGCTACTGGTGCCCTACCTGCGCCCCCCGACCCTACGCCTTTAGGACCTGCCCCTGACGACGCCGCTAGAGCCCGCTTTGCCACTCAGCGAGCTGACCAGACGGCTTGGACGTCGCGTGACGCTGCGGCCTGCATCGCGCTCAGCAGCCTCCTCCCTGAGTCTGAGGAGGTTCACTTCACTCAGGTTCGCACCGCTGCTGAGTACCTCACTGCGATTAAGGCCCGCTACTCTACTCCCGCTACTGTCTCTCTTGGCCGCCTGTTCCTCCCGTTCCTGTTTCCTGACCTAGCGTCTTTTGAGCGCTCTGCTGACTTGATCGCTCACCTCCGCTCGCTCGACGCTAGTTACCGCGCTGCTTGCACTGAGGCACAGCTTGCACTGCTTCCTCCCCCTATGGCGATTACTATCTATTTCATCGCCACTAGCCTCCCTGACCGCCTTGCCTCCGTTCGCGACGCGCTTCTGCTGAAGCACCCTAGTGAGCTCACCGTCGAGGTCCTTGAGTCTTCACTCAAGGACGTCGAGAGCAACCTTCGCTCGGTAGCCGCTGCCTCTGGTGCTGTGCCCCCCCCACTCTTCCACGGGTGCACAGTCCCGCAGTTACCCACCTTTACTGCCTCACTTGCCACTGCCGCTACTGACGTGACTGCAGCTGCTGTTACGACTGCGTCGCGGTCCCGCGGTAGGGGTGGCAAGAAAGGCGGTTCTGGTGGTGGTAGTGGAGGTGGAGGCGGAGGTAGTGGAGGTGGCGTTGCGCCTGGCGGCGGTGGAGGTTCAGGGCCTGGAGAGGCGCCTCGTGCAGTGACTGGTGACTCCACTGGTGGTGGCGACGCCCGAGTTCGTCAGTCGCCTCCTGTACTTCCTGCCCCGGTTGGTGGAGCAGCGGCGTGGTACCAGGCTCAGCGTCAGCAGCAGCTTCTGCAGCACCAGCAGCCCCTCTCCTCCCAGCAGCCTCAGCCGCAGCAGCGGCAGCAGCTGGCTCCAGGGTCGGGGCTGCGTCAGACCCAGCGCGGTGCTGCTTACACTCCCTGCACCTACCAGGTTCTGACAGGCACTCGTCGTGGCCACCCTTGTGGCCGGTTTCACCCCCCTGGTCAGTGCTTTGCTCAGCTCACTGACACGGTTCGTTTGGTCTACGGGGTTGGTGCTCCTGCCCCTGACTGGCTGCCTCTTGTTCAGCGTTACGGCTCCGCTCTGTGGGGCATGTCTGCTGAGCAGTTAGTTGATCTGATTGGTAGTCCCCATGCTATGTATGCTGTTGTTGACTCTAGTGTTTCTGACTCTGTTTACTCTGGTGTTGTTAGCTTAGGTGCTAGCCTTGCTCAGTTGCCTGTTGCTAGTGTAGGTTCTTGTGTAGACTCTAGTCCAGCGGCTACCTCAGAGGACGGTTCGCTGTCGTTCACGCTGGACTCTGGAGCCTCTCACTGCTTCTTTCGTGACAGCACGACACTTACGCCTCTTCCTGCGCCTGTTTCTGTGGCGCTGGCTGATCCCACTTCGGGACCAGTCACCGCGCGTCACACTACCACCTTGCCGTGTCCGGCTGCTCCTTCTGGGTCTCTCACTGGGTTTCACGTCCCCTCGTTCTCCCGGAACTTGGTGGGCGTGCGACCCCTCGTGAGTCAGCACGTGGGTGTGTGGTTTAGCGGAGAGACTGCGGTGTGTGTTGACGGAGACTCTTACCAGCCGCTGGCCACCTTTACTGCTGAGCCGGGCTCCGGTCTCTACACTCTTCACACTGGCCCGCTGGCTCAGCAGCGACTCCAGCAGCAGCAGCAGCAGCAGCCGCAGCAGCAGCAGCCGCAGCCGCAGCCACAGCCGCCCCTCCTGCCCCCGGCCCCTGTTTTGCCCCCCGTTCGAGTCCTCGCGTCTCACCAGGTTGCTCCGTCCCCCCAGGTAGCTGTGTCTTGTCAGGTTCCTCCGTCTAGTCCGGTCGCTGCGTCGTGCTCCTGTCGGTCGCTTGCCCACCCCACCGTTTTGTGGCACCACCGGCTGGGGCACCCTTCTCCTCCTCGTCTTCGCGCTATGTCTCGTCAGCGTCTTGTCTTAGGTCTCCCGCGTGTCTTGCCGTCGCTGCCGCCGTCCCTTGCACCACCATGCGGTCCTTGCGTCGAGGGTAGGCTGCGCGCCACCCCTCACTCCTCCTCCCTTCGTCCGGCCACCGAGCCTTTTGAGACGCTGCACTTGGACGTCTGGGGCCCCTCTCCTCGCCCTGGCCCTGAGCATGAGCGTTTCTTTTTGGTGGTCATTGACGACTACTCCCGCTACACCACAGTGTTCCCCCTGGCGAGGAAGTCTGAGGTGACTTCTACGCTGATCAGGTGGTTGCTTACCACCCAGGACACTCGTGGTCGTCGTGTCAGCTGTCTCCACTCCGACCGCGGGGGCGAGTTTCGCTCCGGCATTCTCGCTGGATTCTGTCGCGAACAGGGCATTCGTCAGTCCTGGACGCTTCCGGAGTCCCCACAGCAGAATGGGGTTGCTGAGCGTCGCATAGGCCTGGTCATGGAGATTGCCCGCACCTCCTTGACTCACGCCCGTGCCCCCCATTTCCTGTGGCCATACGCGGTCAGGTACGCCGCGCACCAGCTGAACCTCTGGCCACGCGTCTCTCGGCCGGAGGCTTCACCGACCAGTCTTTGGACAGGGTCCCCTGGTGTCGCGTAGAGGGTTCGTGTCTGGGGGTGCTTGGCTCTTGTCCGCGACACCT